TTGGGAGCTGGGGAGCGGGTCTGTATGCAGGTACTGCTGTCTTGGGTCCACCTGTTGCTTGGTGGTTGCAGGGGCCCTATGCCCAGTGGCCTGAGTCATTCTCCTCCACTCCTTCTGCCTTTTAGAGGCTGTTGCTGCTGTCAGCTGAAAGTCAAGTTGCTGGACATGCTGTTGAATGTGGCCTTCGTGCCAGCCTGGTCCAACTCCTGCAGCCTCCTTTGTGACAGGCCCACTATATATCTCTGTTTCCAAATGTGCAGTCCCCTCCAGGGCCCTGTGCTGGGAGAGCACTCTGCCTTTCTTTCTCTTGCTTGCCCCGCTCCTGTAGGAAGCCATCCTAGTCTTCCCACTCCTCACTGCAGTGCTTCCTCACGTCCTTGCTCCCATCTGCACTTGCTGCATTTCCATGCCTGCTTGTCTGTGATCCGTCTTCATGGGGAGCAGGAGCTGCATGGCTATCTGCCATGCCCTGGGGCTTCCCCAACTCTGCACACAGTGGCTTGCAAGTGGGGGTCACATGCCCCTGAGCATGAGTGGTGAAGGCTCCGTGCATTCCGGGGCCCCTTGGTGCTGTGCATGTGGGTTAAAGCACTCACTTTCACTGGGCTGAGCTCAGGTGTTGATAGGCCTGGTTCCTTCTTAGGGCTCTTGGAGAACCTGTGCTGGCCTTTCCAGCTCCTGGCAGCCTTTGGGCTTTCAGGAATGCAGCCACTCCACTCTGACCTCTGCCTCCTTGCTCAGACTGCCTTTTTCTCTCCTGCAGCCAGGTGTCCCTCTGCCTCCTCTGAGAATGATTCTCAGCCTCCTCTGAGAATGACTCTTACAATTACATTGAGGGCTTGGGCTGGGGCACAGCTCAGTGGTAGAGTGTTTTCCTGTGTATGCAAAGCCTGGGTTTGCTCCCCAGACTGCTCCACCCCACCTCCACACCCCAAAAAGTGCCTGCTCAGGAACCCAGCACATTTCCCTGTCTGAGGTCCATAAGCAGGGTCCCTTGGCCCTGTGAGAAGACAGGTGCAGGTTCCGGGGATTTGGAGGTGGGTACCATGGTGGTAGGTGTGGTCCATCTCCCACTTCTCTCCCTATTTCTGCTCTTTCACCTTCTCAACCTCCCCTGGAAGGTTGAGGCCTGCTGTGGTGTGGGACGGAGGCACTGCAGCAGGCACATGGCTCCTGCCTTTGAGACCTCTGCCTACTGAGAGCTCTGCTCCCTCCCTCATGGGATGCTGAGGGTGCCTAGTTCCTCTAACCTAGAACTTCCACCTGCCAGCATCACCATTTGGCTTTCTTAGGTGTGTTTCTGTGCTGAATTGTGAAGTGTGTGTGCTTGTAGAAAGGAAGACCACCCAGTGCTGAGGGTGTGGAGGGTGTGAAGTGAGAGCCTCTCTATGTCCATGCCCTAGAAGTAGAGTTCTGTGGGATGCATCTTGAGAGAACTATGCTCATGGCACAGGAGGGTCCTGCAGTAACACTGCTTCAGTGTCCATTGACTTTAGTGACTTAGAAGTCTCTGCATCCACCGTGTCATAGAGCCCTGCTCTTGCCTGCAGGGGACAGAAGAGGGCTGGCAGTGGTGAGGCTTCTGGGGCCACCTGCTGTGTCCCTTTGGAACCCTCTGTCACTAGTTTAGAGTAGCTTTTTAGTCCCTGTCAGGCCTCCTGTTATACAGAGTTCAGTTTCTTTGACCACAGCTTGTAACCTGAGAGGGTTGAGAAGCCTGTCTGGTTAGTGAACCAGGGGTGGCCTGCTCCTCTTTAGCCTGCAGGAGCCTAGCAAACCCACCTCTGCCTCAGTGGTATCTCCACTGAAAAGGTTGCTGCCTGAGGCTTAGTAGTGCCAGGAGAGATTTAATTGAATTCTCTCTGATTATTAGGGTTCAATTGCATACTGAATACTTTGTTAAACTGCAGAAATCCACTTGAAACCTTTGGATGTGGGGGAGATTTTCTTAGTGATGATGCAGACAGCTGGTGATGGTTTAGCAAGGCTCAGGCTGCAGACTGCTGCTGTGGGATGCTGTGTTGCTGCCAGCAGTACCTAACTTCCTGCCTAGGGTCAGAGCAGCTAAGTGCTTATTGGACATAAGTACAAAGCCTGGAGAGCAGTCAGAGCTCTCTTAAAGTCAAACGGGTGTGGGAGGTTTGGAGAGTAGGCACTGTGGAAGAACAGCCTTGGATACCAGCACCAAGAATCCTGTGTTCAGGGCTGTGGCCTGAACAGATCAGACCCCTGGGCCCTGCTTTGCCACTGCTCAATGGCATGGGTAGCAGGCTTGTGCTCAAGAGTTTGCATCACCATAACCCATGTTGACAGTTGCAGAACTGGTTTCACCACATCCTAGCTCACCTAGGGCTCAGTTCAGCACTGTCCTCCACTTATGGAGGCTTTTGCTTTGAGCCTAGTCACCATTTCCAGAGCTTAGCAAGTGGTACTGCACCCCATGCCACCCACCAGCTGTGGGCGAGAGTGTGGGTTTGTGCAAGCAAGCTTGTGACAGACTGAAACTGCAGAACCTTGGTGGGGAAAGCGTGTATCTTTCTTCCTGCTCAGGCTGTGTGTGTGTCTTCACCACTTTCATTTCTCCTTCCGGTGCTCACTCTTTGAGAACCAGAGCAAGGGCACAGTTTGGAGCCCAGGGAAATGAAAGGAGAATTTGCTCCTTAGAGGGACACGGATGATCATTCACACTGCATGGAAGCTTTCTGCCGTGAGACCCTTACCGTAGGTGGGGGTCCTGAAGCTGGTGTGGTAGGACCAGAAGTGTCAGTGCTCAGGAAGCAGCAAACCAGTTGTGTTAAAAATGAACAGAAGTAGTTGGAGCATTTGTGAGCAATTTACTTTCCTTCCAGAGCAGCTATTCTGAAATAGTTTTCCCCACAGGTCTATGATGTTTGTAAAGCCAGCATTCAGTATCTTGGGGACTGACTTCTTGGGGGCTGCAGTTGACCCGTGCCTCTCTTTGCAGGGATAGCTTGGTGCCAGGCACTAGAAGGGCTTAGGAAGCAACTGGCATGTGTAGGATGTGTGCTTTGTCTGTTTGCCAGCTCCCTCTTAGTCTTAAGTCTGTGACGTTAAGAAAATACCTGCCAGGTTTTACACAGGTGTAATCATCTGGTTCTGGGGACTCTTTGTTAAAGCAGAAGATTGTACCTTTGTATATTGTTATGGCAAGCTGAGAACTTGTTGTAAAATTTCTTTGCATTCTTGTAATTTTTTTTCCTTTTTGGGTAGTTTTGGATCAGATCCAGGGCATTAACACTGAGCTACATCCCTAGTCCTTTTAAAATTTTATATTATGAGATAGGTCTTGCTAAGTTACCCAAGCTGGTCTCCAATTTGTAGTCTTCCTGCCTCAGCCTCCCACCGTGCTGAGATTACAGATGTGCACCAGTTCACCTGGCTTTACTCTGTCTTTTCAACTCAGGGAGCTGCTGGGCTTCTCCAGGGCCTCCCTTGCCTGGCCCCTGGCCTGGAAGCTACCTCTAGGCAGTGGCCTGTGGCAGTGGTGGGGCTCACTTCCCTTGTTTTCCCTCTCTTGGGGTTCACTGTCCTGAGCTGCATGAGAGCCAGTGTCTGAAAACCAGTGTTTCCGAGATTTTGTTCCTTTTTTTTAGTTTTCAGGAGGGTGAGTAAATCTAGTCCCTATTATTCCATCTTCACTGGAAACAGAATCCCAACCCAGTTTTTAAAACTTCTAATGAAATATTGTGGCCCACAGGTTAATATATAGTATTTGGATTGCTTGGATAGCCACTGCCCATATTTACAATTTTGTCATATTTCTGCTGCATTTAAAAAACAAAGTAAAACACTATAGTTATAGTTAAAATTCTCTCTTCTTGATCCTCCTCTCTTGATCGTTACAGAGAGGTAGTCAGTAATCTATATTTGATGATTATTGCTCATGTGTGGATTTTAAAAATAGTTCTACTGCATATATATATATATATATATATATATAGTCTATTAATAATGTTAGCATGTACATTTAAAACAGTATCATTCTGTACCTGTCATTTCTCAGTTTTCTTTTCTTTTTCATCAGCATTCAGAAAATCTCTCTGCCTATGATACATACAGCTTTACCTGGAATGTGCATCGTCCCAGGATGAGAAGCTTGATGTGTTGTGCACTTTGGGTGACCCATACCCCTAGAAGAGTACCTGGTATAGAGCAGGCACTTGTTAAATATGTGTTGAATGAGTTCATCTTTAGGGCTATGTAGTATTTTTTTCAATCAGATTTTATTGGTCCTTTTTAGGTATACATAATGATTATATTCAATATAGAGAATTTATACTTGTATATGATATAATTTATTTCTTTTATCCCCCTTGTACTCCCTTCAATCTCTCCTCCCCTCCCCACTTACAAAAGCTTTGTTTCCATTTTTTCTTTCTTTTCTCATTTTAAAAAACTTTTTAGAGTTATGTAGGATTTGATTGTTTACATATAGTACAGTTCATCTGTTGAGGGATGTGTAGGTAATTATCTTTTTTTTTTTTTTTCTAATATGAACAGTGCTGCAGTGGATGTACTTGCTTATGTTTCCCTGTGTACATGTGTAAGAATTTCTTTTAGGAAATTATAGGATCCTAAGGTAGAAGCCTCTTCAGCTTTACTCTATATTCCTGGAATTATTCTTCATGCCAATAGTACCAGTTAACACTCATAGCAATATATAAGAGTTACCATTTCTTCATATCCTTATCAACGTTTAGTATTACCACATCTTTTAATTTTTGCCAATCCTACATATATAAAATTGTGTTTTGTTTTACTTTTCTTTATTTTTATTTTTTGCCCCCTTTTCCCCTTTCTTGAGACAAAGTCTCACTATGTAGTCCAGACTGGTTTAAACTTGCTATGTAGCCCAGGCTGGTCAAGAGTTTGCAATTTTCCTGCCTCAGCCTTCTGAGTGCTGAGATTACAGGAGTGTGCTGCCATGCCTGGTTTACTTTTTCTTGTTTTTCAATAACACATGTCTTCTTTCCTGCTAGGAATTCAATGTCTTCATTCCGTCCTGGGAGAGGCCATAATGATAGTCGGAGGACTGTGTTTTATACCAATGAAGAGTGGGAACTGGTAGATCCACCTCTGAAGGACCTGGAGGAGTCTGTGGTACAGGAGGAAAGGAAGAAGCAGATACCCGAGGGAAGCAAAGGTACAGACATGTTTCTGTTCTGTCACTCTGTCCTTCTGTTAACTGCCAGTGGCCTGGAGACTCTTTACTGGCAGGGGTGTCTGGCAGCATCATCTGTGTGGGATGTAAAGCAATAAAGCTTGAAAAATAAGAAATAAATAGCTGTGCACCCCAGTGGTTGTGGAGCTTTTTAAGGAGGTAGAGCACCTGGAAGTCATGCTTCTCTATGTGGAAACTGGTTTAAAAGCTGTTTGTAGAAGTTTGAGACATACTCAAAAGAGGAGAACATAGTGTCCTCAGTTTTAGTTACACATTGAGTTACCTTTCTAGTACTGCAACAAATACTCGAGGAAAGTTGGCTTACAAAAAATTTTACTTTGGCTCCTGGCTTTGGACGTTTTAATCCATAGCCAATGGGCAATGGAGTCTGGTGGGAGTGCATGCAAATCAAAGCCATTTTTCTCCTGGCCAGAAAGCAAGAGAGAGGAGGGGCGGGGCCCAGGGTCTGAAGGTCACCCACCAGGTCCTTTCTGTCCAGTTTCCACCTCTTCTGCAGCCCAGGATGGGGACCAGGCCTTCCACATGGGCCTCTGGGCTGTGTGGAATCCAGGCTGTGGCACCCAGCACCCTGGCTTCCACAGCTTTGAACTATGGCCTCTCTTACTCCGTCTGTTTCTCTTCTAAGCACCTCTTTTTTCCTGCACTTACCTCAACGGAGTTATTCGTTTTAAAATTAATTTTATTGGCACTTTTTTGATATGCAAAATGATCATATTTGTCCTAGGGAGTTTGTACCTGTACATAATATATCTTGATTCTTTTTTTCCCCATTCCCCTCCCCTCTCTTTAATCCTTCTCCTCCTCCTTATCAACAGAATCTTTGTTTCTATTTTTCCTTCTTTTTCTTTTCTTTTTCCCTTTCCCTTCCTTCCTTTTCCTCTTCCCCGTCCCTTGTTCTACTTCCTATTTGAACATTTTCTTCTTACTTCCCAATATCTGTCATCCATTTTAGTCCTTATTGACAGCAGGGTTATATTAAAGTAACTTCTAGACAGCCATTCATTGCATTTGTAAATACTTTAGTAAGTATTCCTTTTTTAAAATTGTATTTATTTTTTTGATGGCACTGGGGACCTTTGCACTGAACTGCATCCTCAGACCTTTTTACTTTTTTGAGATAAAGAGTCTTGCTAAGTTGCCTGGACTGGGCTCAAACTTGTGATCCTTCTGTCTTAGCTTCCCAGTGGGTTGAGATTGCAAGTGTGTGCCCGCCTACCCGGCTTTTAATAGCTGTCTCTAAGATATAATGACTCTAAAAGAATTATAAATACAGCTTCATTATTACATCTAAAAACAGTTATAGTAAATCTTAATATGACCTAATTCCCAAAATCCTTAAATATCCTTTAAAAACAATTTTAATGTATTTATTTTTATTTTATAATTTTTATTTCTTTATTTTTATTGGTACATGTTTGTAGTACATAGTGATTGCTTTCATTTTGGGAGTAGCACGTCTTCTTTCTACTTCTGGTTCCCTTCTCTTCCCTTCCTTAAATGTCTCCTGATAAGTTTATTCAAATGAGGATCTAAACGAAGCCCACACATTGCATTTAATGACAGTTCTTCTTACCTCTCTTGCTGTTTTGTTGTATTTTGTTTGTGATGTTGAGGATTGAACCTAGGGTCTCACTCATGCTAGGCAAGTGCTTTACCACTTTTCCAGGCTTCTTAAAAATTTTCTTGAGACAAGATTTACCAAAGTTGCCCAGGCTGGCCTCAAACTTGTGACCTTCCTCCCTCAGCCTCCCAGGTAGCTGGATTACAGTTGTAGCTCCACACCTGGCTTCTTATGTCTCTTGTCAAAACACCTTGCTGTCTTTTCCCCTTCCTTTCCCCATCGAGTGCTCAGAAACTCAATGGTGATACTGAGGAATTTCCCACCTCTGGGTTTTTCTCACGATATTGGTTGGGGAGCTCATTTAACATACTCCTCTGTCCCTCCCTTTCCTTCATGCTGCAGTTCCAGTTGAAGCTTGGCTAGATTCAGGATTAACTTTTAATTTTGGTAGGAATGTATTTTCTGTGGGGGCGTGAGGTGCTGTGCATTTCCTGTTGCACATATTTGATGCCACAGCATGTTGTTTTTTTCTTTTCCCTTGTCTCAGTTGATTGTGGTTAGGAGCCACAGCTTGACGTGTTCATAAAATTTTCCATCAGTCTTTTGCCTAATGCTGTTAGCAATCTAGATTCATTGATTTATTAAGAGGACATTAATGTTTTAAACATAAAATAACAGTAACTTTGAAATTCTGCCTTATGCTTGATTCTAGTGTGGGCTATGAAAGCCAGGATTTGGGGAAGTCTTTGTTGGGAGAGCAAGTACTGCTGTGATTTCTTTCAGAAAGAAATTGTGTTCCAGGGATCATGATGTGGACTCTGGGTCTGAGGAAATGGTGTACACTGAAGTCAGGTTGAGTCTACTTGGTTGCCTGATGGAGCACCCAGGATGGGGCCACTGTGACCTGGGGCAGCTTCCTGCAGTGGAGGAATGTGGATGGGGAGCTTACTGAGCATGTTATTTCTAGTGGAAACTGAGTAAAATAGAAGTGGGAACTGGGGGGTTCAGTGCCTGAGGAGAGATGAGGAGCTCTCAGCACCCCTTGGAGGGTCTTTTCTCCACTGCCAACAGCCAGCTCCACCTCTGCCCACCCTGTTCCCATTGAGAAGGCACTTGTGTGATTTGTAGGCATTTCTGGAGCTGCCCAAAGAATTAGCCCACCAACTTTCCCATGTTACTCTCAGGAAGTGGATGGCCCTTCCTTGTATTCCTTCCCACCAAGTCAGGAATGTTTAGCTTGATGAACTGTCACAGAGCCAGCACAACATGCGATCAGCATTCACTCAGGTGCTAGCTGCCCCCTCCCCCTTCCAGCCTCTGCCCAACTGACAGCATAGGCATTTGCTTGCTTCCCAGCTTTGTGTAAATTGAACTTGTACAGCACATACCCCTTGGTGTCTCTTGTCTGTATCTTGAATATATATTTAAAGTCATCTGCATTAAAACATATTCAAATCCCACAATATTTTAAAATACTATTTTAAAGAAAAGAATGGGCAAAGTTACATTTTAAAATAGGTGTTCACAATTTAAAAAGGACACATTTGGGTTTTGTTTTGTTTTTATCACAAATTAGCAAAATAGGAAGTCAAGTATCACTGTGTCTGAGTTTTCTTTTAAGGTGATCACGTGGTAGTTTTCATTTAAGATGATCATGTGCTATGAGTCCAGGGAGGGATCTTATAGGGGCATCATCTCTGATTTTGAGCATGGTGGTTTTTCTCTAGAAGGAGGTGAGGGCAGAGAGGCATCTTAGCCCACCTACATTTTGTGGGTGATGAGTATATATTCCTGGGGGGGTGTGATTTGTGAGGAAGCTTTCTTTTACTGTACTGCCCAGAAGGATGATTTGGCCAGCGCACGGTATGTTTTTTTTTTTGTGTAGGAGTATCTGGCTCCGGATTCCCCTTTGATTTTGGACGTAATCCCTACAAAGGGAAGCGCCCTTTGAAAGACATCATTGGATCATACAAGAATCGGCACAGCAGTGGAGACCCTCTGAGTGAGGGGATGTCAGGTGCTGGCAGTGTCAGGCTGGCCTCTGAGATGCAGCTGCAGGTTCAGAGCCAGCAGGAGGAGCTGGAGCGGCTGAAGAAAGACCTGACCAGTCAGAAGGTAACCATCTTCAGACTTCTGCCTTCCCCACCTCTGCAGTCCCACCTTTAGGAGTATGGCCCATTCATGTTCCCTGTTTCCCAGAAGTGCCTTTCTCTTCAGCTTCACGCTGCCATGGTCACCTTACTGAGCACTGGTGCTCTGTTGGGTGGCTTGTCCAGAAGGGTTTGATTGACAGGGCAGGGATGATCCCTTCCTTATTGGAGGTTGCAAGACTGTGCTGTCTGTACTGTGGCCAGCTGTACAGTGAGTTCTGTGCTTTTTAAACATGGTGTTAGCCCAGAGTTCTGTAATAGTTGTTTAAAACTTTCCACATCCTGTTAAATGGCAATTTCTGAGCTGATCCGACCTAACTTCTTAGCAGTTCGGTGACTCTTAGAGCACAGATTCTCTAATCCCAATTAATACTTGCCAGCACCATTGCTAATGACAGCATGCCCACTGTTTCCTTTTCCTATTATTGTTCTGTATAGACTGTCTTCATGAAGTAAATATTTTTCCTCTTTAGTTCTGATATCTTTCAAGGAGTTTCCAGTAAAGTTTCTGCATTTCCTCAGACTCAAGCAATTGTTCCTTGTGGTGCTATCATAATTTCTGCCTTTTCCTTCCCATTCTCCCCCACCTCACCTTGTCCTCCCCTTGGCTCCCAGGAGCTCGTCCGGCTGCTGCAGCAGACAGTCAGGTCTTCACAGTACGACAAGTATTTCACGAGTGGCCGATTCTGTGAGGGGGTCCCTGGGGCCACGCTGGAGCTGCTCCACCAAAAGGACGATCACATTCTGGGCCTCAGCAGCCAGCTGGAGCGGCTGAGCCTGGAGAAGGAGAATCTGCAACAGGAAGTGAGAACCCTGAAGAGCACGGTTGGCGAGCTCAATGAGCGGCTGGGGATGCTGATGGAGACCATCCAGGCCAAGGATGAGGTCATCATCAAGCTCAGTGAAGGCGAGGGCAGCATGCCTTCCCCCTCCTCAGTGCCAGGCTCCCCACTGGCTGCTCCAGCCAGCAGGGACCAGCTGGAGCTGGACAGGCTAAAAGTAAGAGCAGGGCACTGACTCTGGTTATGGGGACGGGGCTCCTAGAAATGCTACCTCCATCCAGCTCACCCTGGAGGTCCTGGTCTCTGTGAGCTCCTTTGGTGAGACAAAACACTGTGCCTGTTCTTGTTTTTGTGTTTAACAAGTATAACAGGTCTTACCGTTGATTATTAATGTTCCCAATAGCTCCTTTGGGAAATGTGAATGCTGTTGCCACTGCTTAAAGCAGGTTCAGATCTCTTTCCCTGTTTTTTCAGGCAGCTGAGCCTTCCTGTTCTATTTGGATTCCCCTAGGCCCTTGTTATCCCATGGACTTTGTGGAAATGGTCACTTGTTCTGTGTGCATGTACAGTGCACACACACTTGCACAGCCCCCTACAAGGCCTGACAGGCCTGGAGCAGGAGCCTCATTGCTTTAGCTGGTGAAGGGCTAGCCACGAGTGGAACGCAGCTCAGGTGGCTCTGGCAGAAACCTGCACCCTTGAACCCCAGGTAGAAGGGTCTTGATGCTAAGAAAGGAGACAGACCAGCATCCATCTCTGGGCCAACCCTGGGTGAGAAGCAGTGATTTTTCTGTGTCTGACCTATGGTGCTGACAGCAGATGCTATTGGCACACCCAGCCCTGTGGGAGACAGGGGTAGTTGGACTCCCATGCCTGCAGAAAAGCCTCATCATCCAGGGCATAGAGTTGAATGGCCTTGGGCTGCTATAGAGCATCAAGTCCCTCTGGAACCATCTTCTGAGAGGTTTCAGGTAGACAGTTGTCTCCTAGGGCATGAGATAATCGGACAGAGCCCAGGAAGTTCAGCAGATCCCAGTTGCCAGCCCCACTGAGCCCAAAGTATTCCCTACCTGGCTACCTCCTTGTGAGTAACATGGCTCCAGGCATGTTTGCTCCTAGTGGAGTTAGTCCTTGAGGGGCAAAGGATTACAGCTGCTGAGGTCATGTAGTGAGTATGTGCTTCATTCCTTCCACCTCCTTTCATGCACTGCAGCATGGATGCAGAATGGATGAGTGATGAGCAGGCCAGGCGCCTCAAAGGTCCTTCCAAAACGGAGCTAAGGATGTTGGAGTGATAGATAGCAGCATTGTCAGAATGTATAGATGGTCCCCCCTAGTGACCACTTCTCAGTGACAGTACCCTTGGGTGTATGAGGGACAGGACTTGTTAATGAGAAAATCAAAAAAGCCACAAAACCCCAACCTCATACTTTATATTTACATTTACTATAAAATAGCCTTTCCTATTAAAGAGGTCTTTGTTAGTGCTATCAGTAGAAGTTGGTTTTCTTTATGTGTGCAACCTTAACTATTCCTGACCCTAATCATACATCCCACTGAAAGTATTCATTTTGCAAACAAACCTGTGTTCACAGTAGGTGGAGACTATTTCAGAGCCAGGGTTTCCAGACCACGGTGGGCTATACTGGGCAGGAGAGAGGTGTGGGTCACGTTTCCCCAGAAACTGAGCCAGGTGCATGGCAGGGGGTCTCTCTCCGTGGCTGTGGCTCTGCATAGGCCCTAACAGGGTGGATCAGGTTGGACCCTTCCTTCCATTTCCTTTTTGTGGCTTAATAGTTGGGATGTTCAGGGTGAGTAATGAAATAGTTTTCTTGAACATTTCAAGCCTTTGGCTCCAAAATTCCACAACTGTGAGGTCCTGTGGGTGGAGCTTATAAAGAGGCAGTGTTTGCCAGGTGAGTTCCAGGTGGTATGCACGAATCCTGCCTTGGTCAGGACCTCAGGTTTTCTGTCCCTGCACCCTGTACACCTAGTGCATGCTTCCTGTGCAGTGCTGAAAGGCTTGAGAGAGGATTTCAACAGCGGTGTCTTGACACTGTTTCCTCCTTTTCAGGGCTGGACTGCATGGTTGAAGAGGGAGTACTGATTTCTTCTTTGACTTCACATCTAAAGTGGCTAGGTGGAAAATAACATGTATATACTTTTCAAATACATATTTTTATGGAAACAAAATATGTTAAAATATTTTAAATCTAGTTTTAGATATCTTTCTTATTTTTTGCTTTATTGTCAATGGTTGTAGCCTGTACAGTGTTCTGGTCTTTTGAATTTTACTCTTTTTTGTGTGTCTGATAATGGTTACTTCTTGCTTTTGTAATATTCTCAAGTGGGGTCAAAACTTTGATCCTTTTTTTCCCCAGTGCCATCAGGGTCTTGTGTGTGCAAGGAAGGCACTCACCACCTAGCTACTCCCCAGCCCTGTTGTACTTTGCTTTCAGCTTTTCCGTAAGTTTGAACATTTTCAATGGAAAAAAGTTGAGAAGCACCTTCTCTTAAGTGCCTTATAATCATAGGTTGAATTTATTATGTGTAACTTTAGTCAAGGGCTTTTGTATATGTTTATAGCCCTTTTTTTCTTTATATAAAGTACATAAATAAAAATGAGAACCTTAAGAGAATACACAGTTTCTCTACTTTAAAAAAAAAAGAATGTAAAGTATCACTTTTTTTGTACCACCTCAACAAATACCAGTAATAAAATAGTTACATAGATTTAGGAAATAAGTGCTGTTCATTTCTCCTGTCATCAGTTGAGAAAAATCACCACTATCAGGTCAATAATAATGGTTTCCTTTGTTACAGCAGCAGCAGCTGCCTTCCTTCTGCTGCCACAAGTGGCCAGGAAGATTAACCCAAAAGTTTCTGTTAACAACCTCCAGGTCCTTAGAACTCACCCCAATTTACAGACTGTTTGGTGAGGAAGTAGACCCTCCTCATACAAGGTAATTAGTCAACATCCAGCCAGTGTGAATTGATGGGATTTCCTCCCCCCACAGGATAATCTACAGGGGTACAAGGCCCAAAATAAATTTCTAAATAAGGAAATTTTGGAACTCTCAGCTCTACGAAGAAATGCAGAAAGGAGAGAGAGAGATCTGATGGCCAAGGTGAGTCTGTATGGGAGTATTTATTATCTGGTGAGAGGGAAGGCTAGAAAACCACATTTAAGTGGATGTGTTTTAAAAGCAGTTCCACTGCCATGCTGGGAGAAAGATGACTACTGGTATCAAAACATATTTAAAATGTGTATAGTACATAGAGCCATGTACTTTGTCTTTGATGAAGACAGAGAAAGGCCTGTAGATGTGGCTTTTATCAGACATACGCATTTTAAATGGACTTTTGAATAAAAATTATGTACAACTATGGATTCCCCAAATTATTTAGAATTTATGTCATGTTTCATCTCTAAAATGGGTGGTAAGGCTACTGCCTCCTCTCTGAAACAATGGATTGGTTTGAGAGTCAGACATGATTATGTCTGGAAAAGGCTTTGCAGACTGTAAAGGAGAGCACAAATGTTCTAGTTGTAACTGAATTATAATCACATGACACTTCCCCTGGCTACTGTATACCTTGTGTAATTTTTTGAGCAAATCTTAAAGCATCTATCCAAATCTTACCTCTGCATGCATTCCAGGTGTGTTTAATTTTTCTGATCAGGTGGCAGATGGGAGCTAGTACTGGGTCACAGTGTCTGAAGAATAGTGGCATGGCATGGGGTGATCACCAGCTTATGTGCCAGGTGGCACCAGCTTGACCTCAGTGCTGGCATCTGGTGCCTACTGCTCACTCCAGTCCTGTCCAGGAGTAGGGCATTTGTTGGCACCCAGGCATCTGATTATTAGTGCCCCTTCTGTGCCAGACCTTGAGGAAGAAGCTATGTTAAACATAGCAGTTGGCCAGTAGCATGTATAAACCTTGTCTTTGTTACTATCTCTGGCTCATTTCCTGATAGTCTTGGGCTGTCATTCATCAGTTGCTTGAGCCATATGAGGGAGGTTTTTCCTGCATCTCATCTGGCTAGAGGTAATCTCCCCCTTTCTCTGTAGTATTCCAGCCTGGAAGCCAAGCTTTGCCAGATAGAAAGCAAATACCTGATATTGCTTCAAGAAATGAAGACCCCAGTGTGCTCAGAAGAACAGGGCCCCACCCGGGAAGTCATTGCCCAGTTGCTGGAGGATGCACTACAGGTTGAGAGCCAGGAGCAGCCAGAGCAAGCCTTCGTGAAGCCTCATCTTGTCAGGTAAAGGTGCAGTTGGGGGGTGCCCCGTTTCTGAAGTCCCTTCAGCAGAATAGCTGTTCACAGAAGACTTCACACAACTCTTGTGTCTTGACACTGTCTTCTCCCCCATCATCAAGGGGTAGATCAGAGGATCAGATCTCATGTGCCATATCAGAGTCACCCTGCTTCCAGACCATGTCTACTTCAGCGGGGAGCCAGTGTTCCAAAGAATAGAGACCCTTTTTTGGGACATAGCTGTACCCACAGAGGATTCAGAAACAAAGGGGGTCCATAGTGGAGAACTGGGCTTTCTTTGTAAGGGAAATCTGTGTGGGTAGCATGTTCATCCCTAATACCTTACAAATATTTTCTTTTTGCCTTTTCATCTTTAAAATGATGTTTCTGTTGGGCATGGTGGTACATGCCTCTAATCCCACCACTTGGGGGAACTGAGATAGGAGGATTACCACAAGTTTGAGGCCAGCTTGGGCTGCATAGTAAGTTCAGGGCCAGTCTGAGCTGCATGATGAGACCCTGTCATCTTTTGAGGCATAAATTTATTTACTTTATATGTATGATACATAAACACACACACAAACAAGTTGGTGTTGCCATGTTGATCAGTCTTGTTTTTGTGACATTGCCTATATTTTCTTCTGTGTTTTTTACAGTAAGTATTTTGAGCCATCTGGCATGGATTTTTTTCCACATAGATGGCAGCTGTCCTCTCCTTGTTTATCAAGAAGTTCACTGGTTTGAAATGCCTGGTCATGTGTATATACATGTATACGTGGACATGGATTGGTATTTGGGTTCTCTACTCTGTTTTATTGGTTATTTTTGCCAAGATCATTTTTATTTTCATTTTCTTTTTTGTTTTTATCAACAGTGAGTATGATATCTATGGGTTCAGGACTGTGCCTGATGACGATGAGGAGGAGAAGTTGGTTGCTAAGGTCCGTGCCTTGGACCTGAAGACTCTGTACCTTACAGAGAACCAGGAAGTTTCCACCGGGGTCAAGTGGGAAAACTACTTTGCCAGCACAGTGAATAGGGAGATGGTGTGTTCTCCAGAACTGAAGACTCTGATCCGCTCAGGCATTCCTCACGAGCACCGCTCCAAGGTGTGGAAGTGGTGTGTGGACCTCCACACGAGGAAGTTCAAGGATGGCGTAGAGCCAGGCTATTTCCAGGTCTTGCTGCAGAAGGCCCTGGAGAAGCAGAACCCGGCCTCCAAACAGATCGAACTGGACCTGCTTCGGACACTGCCCAACAATAAGCACTATTCCTGCCCCACCTCTGAGGGCATCCAGAAGCTGCGTAATGTCCTGCTCGCCTTCTCCTGGCGGAACCCAGATATCGGCTACTGCCAAGGTTTGAACAGGTGGGCACCAGCCACAGCATGTTCCCACGTGCCATTCAAAGAGTTGTGGGCACCGAACACTGCCTGACAGCAGAAAAAGAAAACACCACTGCCAAAGTCCTCTCTCAAGAAAAGCCAATGTTTTAGGGAAAAAAGCAATTGCAGCAAGCTACTTTTAGTGAGGAACTATGCCCAGCTCTGGAATAATAGAAACATGTGCTTCTAGAAAGTACTAACACAGAAGTTGGTATAGGGATATCACTTGGTGGTAAAGCGCACAAGGGCCTGAGTTAGTCTCCAGTGCCCAGGAAAAAAGAACACGAAATCAAAATTCAGTTTAGCTTAGAATCTCATTCTTTATTCCTTGTTCTCTCACACGTAGATTTTGATTAGAGTTTGGTTTCATTGGTTGATAATGCATGGAGTGAAAACTCAGAGTCCCTCATTTATATAGGATCCTTGTGAATTAGGAAGTTGCCTTAAACAGTGCTTCAGTAATTGAAACCCAGCTCTTGAAAGACCTAACCTTGCTCTCTTTAGACTGGCCTCTCTCAATATGTCTTCCATACTTCCCTAAGCAGGGGATGTAGAAGCCACTGGCCTGTCCTTGATGATCTGGCTCAGTGGTGGCGAACCTATGGCATGCATGCTGCAGCAGGCTGTTTGTATTACTGAAAGCTCTAAAAGGTTCAGTGTCACTGATCCAGCTTTTTTTTTTTTTTTTTTTGGGGGTCTTTTTGAAACGTCTTGCTATGCAGTTCAGGTTGGCCTTGAGCACACTTTGTCTCCCCGACTGGCCTCAAACTCACAACGATCCTCCTGCCTCAGCCTCCCAAGTGCTGGGATTATAGGAGTATGCTACTATACTCTGCTGATCTAGCTTTTAGGTCTGAGCCATGCTGGGCCAGAATGAGGCCTTTGCACGTAGCTCCTCTGGGACAGGGTGTTGGGTGTTAGAGACAGCTTCTTGCTTCTGACCCCGAGTCTGACTTTACCTGGCTGGTCCGCCTCCTGCTGTTTCTGCTTTCTGTTGCATTGCACTTTGCATCTGTATTCCTCTCTGGTAGTGATATAGGTAACTAAGCTTATTGGAAAGATAATGAAGACTCTATGTATGTACTTGAGGAATCCCCTGTAAGCCAAGTGCATGAGCTTGAGTTTTGAATGCTGATGTTGATCCTGGCTGCACAGAGGCCTAATGCTCCTGGTCATGCCTGGTACTGACCTCGGGGTAAGGGCTATTTGCGTTGGAAATGAGAATATTGCAGGAGGCAAGGTTTCAAACTGCGCTGTTCCTTGGATAAGACCCGAGTGAAACTAGATGATTTCCAGGAAGGCCTTGCTTGTGGTGGTGAGAACAGGGCAGCTGTCTCTGTGCCCTTGGAAAGTAAAGGGAGTTCAGCTGTTCCTAGACAGTCTCCATTTTAAAAAGAAAAAGGCTGTAAATAGTCTACTGCTTAATAAAGCAGTCTTGTTTCACTTAAAGCCACAATTCATGTGTTATTCTCAGGTTTAAAACTAAGTGGAAGCTGACAACCTCCGAACCCAAGGGGGACTTGAGCACGCCTGTTGGGGGTGCCATCATACCCTGCTTACCTGGTGTTGTCATAGAAGCCGGTCTTTATCTGTAAAGGATGCTTCCAGATAAAGCTTTCTCTGCACCTTCACCACTGTTAAAGTGTCTGAATTTTAACTGTTTTACTCGATGTTTTTCTTCAGAATGTTTGGTTCATGTCTGTGCCTCTGAATACCCAGAGCTTTGGAGAAGACCTTCAGCCTTCCTAGATGATTCAGGCCTCTTGTCTTCACCATCAGTTCATTTACGTGATGTCCTCAAAGGCTCTTTTGACTGTGGACTCTGCTCTCATTTTCTGGTATCCTTGGGTGATAGGGATTTGGCTCTGTGCTTTTGTGAAATACTTTCCTCCATCTGTCATTTGTCATCTTTGTGCTCTGCATCCTTTTTATGACGACTGGAGACCTCCCTGCCCACCTAGCTCCGGTCTTTTCTTTTTTCTTTATTTGATATGAGTTCATTGTAGTTTTATCTAGGGAAGGGGGGAAAAAGCAAACCGTGAGAAAGGGCATCAGAGTTTTCCCGTGAGTCGGCTTCATATCACACACAGGTAGAGGTTCTTGTATTTTAGTTAAGTAGAAAGAGCATTTTTCTCACCTCTGCCCCTATGCCTACTTGGAGCCAAACTTGGGCATGTTGGATGAGTAGTCTCTTGATTAGTGCCAGTGGGTAATAGCTGCACCCAAGTTTGTGTTACGAAGAATATATCAGTTGGTACACATGGTGTCCTTTCCCACCACTCGAGCAGTTCCGGATATGGTCAGCTCAGAGAACCTTTTGGCAGGGTTCCTTTGTCTGTGGCCCTGTTTCCATCCCCCAGTGTAGAAGCAGGATAGATGGATTCTGGAAAGTTGTACTCTTTGTACATCTGGTGCTCTTCGTTACTTACATCCACATCTGGTTTTTTTTATGCATAAAAGGAGTAGTTGAAACTTACTGCACTTCATGAAGTCAAAGAATAGCTGCATTAGCAAAATCTTAGAATGAAAACTTTTTTTTTTTTTAAATGAGGCTTGTCAGTCATTGGGAAGTAATTTCATCTTTTAACAAAAACCAAATGAAAGAGCAAGGGAAATGTAGCTTTGTTTCTCAAGTTTAGAAAGTGCCTCACTTGTTCAGGAACACTTACTTACTGTTTATTGGACAGCTAGGTATAGTTTGGCCAGAGGAGAGAGAATGGCTCAGCAGACATCTCAATGGAGACTGGCGTAGGGCTGGCACTGACCCTCCCCTCTTGCTTGTAGATTGGTGGCACTGGCCCTCCTGTACCTGGAACAAGAAGATGCTTTCTGGTGTTTGGTTACCATCGTGGAAGTTTTCATGCCTCGAGACTATTACACAAAGACTCTTTTAGGATCGCAGGTACTGTATGTGTGTGTGTGTGTGTGTGTGTGTGTGTGTGTGTATTCGTCATATAGAATAGTGAAGTTCATTTTGAGGAACTGGTACACATGCATATAAGACATATAGATCACTTTCAATCGCTTTATGCCTCAATTCTCTTTCCCCCATTCCCTTTCCCATTTCCAGTAATCTACCTTCTAGGGGTGTGTGTGTCTGTCTATCACTCTAATCTGTCTTTCTATCTTTATATTTTAGGTTTCACATATAAGAGAAAATATGTGATATTTAACCTTCTGAGTCAGGCTTATTTTGCTTAGCATGGTGTTGATTTCCATCCATTCTCCTGCAAATGACATGATTTCATCCTTCCTTATGGCTGAATAATACTCCATGGTGGAAATATACCACGTTTTCTTTATCCATTCATCTGTTGCTGGGCACCTAGGCTGTTTCCACAGCTTAACTATTATGAATTATATTGTAGTAAGCATGTGTGTACATGGAATGCTATAGTGTGATGTCTTTGATTCTTTTAGGAATGTACCCAGGAGAGGTACAACTGGGTTAGACAGTATTTCTATTTTTAGTTTTTAGTGGAATCTTCATGCTGATTTCTGTGGTGGCTGTACTAGTTTACATTCCCACCAACAATGTAGAAGGGTTTCTTTTTACCCCTATCCTGGTCAGTATTCATTGTTTTTTGTGGTGATGATAGCTATTCTGACTGGGGTAGGAATGAATCTCACAGTTGTTTTGATTTTCCTTTCTCTAGCAGCCAAAGATGTTGCACATTTTTTCACATGCTTATTGGCCACTTGTACTTCTTCTTTTGAGAAGTGTCTATTCAGTTCATTTGACCTTTTTTTGATTGGGTCATTTGTTTTCTGGTGGGTTAATTTTTGTATTCTAGAGATTAGTCCTATATCAGAAAAGTAGCTACCAAAACTTTCTTTCTTGTTGTATAGGTTGTCTCTTCATTGATGTGCAAAAGCTTTTAATTTGATGTAATCCATTTTGTTGATTCTTGATACAGAATTATTTCCTGTGCTTTTGGATTTCTGTTCATAGGAAGTGTTTGTGCTTGTAGTTTAAAGTATTTCCCTTATGTTATCTTCCAGTAATTTCTTTTGGTTTTATATCTATGTTTTTGATCCATTTTGATTTGTTTTAAGCACAGAGTGAGAGGTAGGGAACTAGTTTCAATCTTCTCTAAGTAGATAACCAGTTTTCTCAGCACTGTTAAAGAGGCTGTCTTTTCTCTATTGTAAGTTTTTAGACCCTTTGTCAATAATCAGATGGCTTAGGTGCATGGGCTTGTTTGTGTATCTTTTTTTCTACTCCGTGGTCTACATGTCTGTTTTTATGCCAGTAACATATGGTTTTTGTTACTATAGATTTGTAGTATAACTTGAAATTTGATATTGTGGTGCCTCCAGCTTTGCTTTTTTTTGGAGACAGGGTCTGGCTATATAGTCTGGGCTGGCCTTGAACTTACTATGTAGCCCAGCCTGGCCTCAAACTCATGGCAATCTTCCTGCCTCAGCCTCCTGCGTTCTGAATTATAGGCATGGGTCATCATGCCCAGAGAGCTTTGTTCTTTTTGCTCAGGATTGCTTTGGCTGTTCTGGGTCTTTTCAGATTCCATATGAATTTTAAGGTAGTTTTTTGTAGTTCTGTGATTAATGTTGCTGGTGTTTTGGGTTTGGTTTTGATTTGCTTTTGTTTTTTTGAGACATATTTTATAATTGTACTTTTTGCTATGAAATGTGGGCTGGCCTTGAAATCACTATGTAGCCCAGGCTGGCGTCAAGTTTGCAGCCATTTTCCTGCCTCAGTCTCCCAAGTGCTGGGGTTACAGGCATGCACAACCATCCCTGGCTTATTTTTGGTATTTTACTAGGGATTGCATTAAATCTGTAGTTTGCTTTTGGTAGTACTACATTTTCATATTAGTTCTTATCTGAGAACAGGGAAAGTCTTTTTTTTTTTTTTGGTTTTTCTTTGAGACAATGTCTTACTATGTAGTTCAGGCTGGTCTGAACTCACTACATAGCCCTGGCTGCTCTCAGACTCATAGCGATCTTCCTGCCTCAGCCTCCTGAGTGCTGGGATTACAGGTGTGTGCCACCATACCGAGCAGTCTTTCCATTTTCTAATGTCCTCTTCAATGCTCTCTTAATTTTCATTTGAGCTTGTTCACCTTCTTGCTTAGGTTGATTGCTAGGTTCTTAATTTTTTGAAGCTATTGTGATTGTGATTGTTTTCCTGGTTTCTTTCTTGGTGGGTTCCTTATTGGCATACAGGAAAGCTATTGATTTTTGGGTACTGAATTTCTATCCTGCTGATATTGTTAAGCTACTGTGCTTCAGGCACCAGCCTGTGGAATTAGAGCTGAGATGCAACCTGAGTTAAGCCCCTTTGGGAGGCTTTGTGTGCTGGATTTCAGCAGCTGATCCTTGGAGGCAGCTGTCCACCTCCCTTGCCACTCTATAACTCTTTCAAGGCAACATGGCCCCAAGATGCGGGTCAAGGTGTAGTTGACCTGTGAGCATAGAGACAGGAAGGACACAAGCAGGAAAGCACTGTCCCTGGCATAATGCTGACTGCCCAGGATGGGCATGGGTGGGCTTTTTGGAAGGGACGACAGGCCTGGCTTGGCCATGTCCAAAGTGCCTTCTATGGTAGTAGTCTGACACTTACCCAGGGTCACCTGGCAGGGGGATGTGAGAGAGATGCTGCAGGCCCAGACCTTTTACACATGGGGAGGCTTCACAGCTTTGTAAATACTTTTCTTTTTAAGTGTTTAAAGAAATTAATTATAATTCACTTCAGTCAATGTGTATCTTTGACATTTTGTCTTTTATTCTAGTCAGAAAGCAAATTGGTCAAAAATGTATATTTCCAACCCAAATTCTTACGTTTTGTGTTCTTTTACTCTGGGGTATGTATACAACTTATTAGTATCATTTTTGTAAAAACAGCAATGCTTTTTAACTTTATAAGTTACATTGCTTTTTAAATTTTTAAAACGTTAACCAGTAGTGTCTACTGGAAGCTATGTAACCATACTTTTTAAAAACAAAAACCAATAAAGCATTTTTGATTTTTGAAACTTCTCTTAAAGAAAAAAACGTTTGTCTTGATCTGGTGTGTCCAGCCTGTAGCACTGGGTTTTGTGACTACTGTACATTAACATTTTACATGTGGCCTGAGATGGGGCTTTTTCACTGAGGCAAGCCATATGAGTATACCCCGCAGGCTTAGGTTAGACAGTCTGAATATTGCGTCTAGTTTTTTAGTATTCCAGGGATCCCAAGAATGACCACACCTGTTGTTCTAACTTACTGGTGTGTGATGCGTGATGTAGTTTTGCAAGTTTGGGGATGATATGCTCCTAGGAGTAGTTTTACTGTGAGGGGAAGCCTCTTCCTAGTTCTAGGTGTTACCAAGTTGCTCTCCACAATAACTGTCCAGTTTGTCCCCAACTGTCCAGTTGCTGCCCATGAGAAGATACGCTGCACTGTGGTCTTGGCACATGTGGACAGTTCATGAAGCACTGCAGGGTCCTTCCTGTGGACCTGGCTGCTGTTGTCCTTGCCCTGACCCTTAGGGTTGGGCTTTACCCTGTGGCTTGGGGCCTTGCTACCTCCTTGTTCTTCTTGCATATTTGCCTGTGTGGCTCCTCCTTTGAGTCCAGGCCTCCCCTGGAGCCTCAGTGTGATCTCCCAATAGAGGTGCCATGGGCACCCATACATGCCACTCTCCCTGGTCTGGCCTGCACCACACTTCTGCCCTGCCATGTCAGGGGTCAGAAGCCAGGGAACTCTGAGCACCTCTCCTTACCTTTCTCAGTATGGAGTTTTAAGTTATGCCGATTTGTCTCCAGTCATGAATCTGTGTGCCCTCCTCCTCCCTGCTGCTCTCCATTGGCTCAGGTTCCCTGCCTGCACCTTGGCCAGGCAGGACTGCACCTGGCTTTCTGGGCAGCCTTGCTGCCCTGCTACAGTGGGAGGAACAGCCCTGAGTGCTCACAGCTGTGAGACACTGCTGCATGACTCTTGTGTCTTTCCACCTGGCTAGAGAAAGTGGTTCAGGGGACTGTTGTGTCCAATAAAGTTGAGTAGACTGGAATCGAGTGTTGAGGCAAGTCCACTGTATGGGGTAAGTACTGTTTTGTGCATCTTTTGCCCCTGCTGTATATGTGCACACGGGTAATGTTGGCTGAGCCACAGATGAAGCTGGCTGTTTTTGTGTGGGCCACAGAAAGCCCCTGGCCTATAAGACAAGGTCTTGACCCTGTTGTGTGATATGGCAACCTCTGTGACTGGGTTCTGTCAAGTGGTGCCACCTCACCTGCACCATGCTATCCAGAAGCCTGGGCTTAGGCAGTGGGTGCTGTCTCTTCTCCATGCGCAATCTTCACAGGATCTGCCATAGTCACTGTGCCAGTTCATATGTCTGCCTGCTTACCTTCTGCATTCTTGAGGTCACATCCCATCTCCTATGGGCCCCTTGCCTGGCGTGTCTGTGTGCAGTAAGTAGGTAGTTCACATGAGCCTCGTGTGAGCCTCACTACAGCCATCTTTGCAATAGGGCACAGACTGTAGAAATCCCTTTGCTGAAAGCTAGTGGGACCCCCACCTGGGTCCCTCAGGCCAGAGCCTTTGCTCCCCCTACCCGCCCTCAGCTTGGTAAATGTGTGCCACATGGGTAGGTAGGTAATGTCATGCTTCTTTGGCTTAAGGCTCATTTTGCTACATCTGCCCAGGACACAGGCTTATGGCCCTTGTTCTCAGCCTCACTGTGCTCTGCTTTCCCCAGGACCTGAATGTCGGCACTCAAGTTCAGTCACCCCTAAGCCACAGAGCAGCCCAGCTTTGTGACAGTCCCCACAGTGGGTTTGGGACAGCTGTGTAGCCCTGATTCCTATGACTCCATCTGCCGCTCTCAATTTGAGTGACTGGCCTTGTGTGCCTGCCTAGCACTGTGGCCGACCCTGACCCTTCTCTCCTCTGTTCGCTCCTCAGGTGGACCAGCGGGTGTTCAGGGACCTCATGAATGAGAAGCTTCCCCGATTGCATGCCCACTTTGAACAGTACAAAGTTGATTATACTCTCATCACATTCAACTGGTTCCTGGTGGTGTTTGTGGACAGCGTGGTTAGCGACATCCTCTTCAAGATATGGGACTCTTTCCTATATGAGGGACCAAAGGTGGGTGTGCTTGGCTGTGTTGTCCTCACTTACACTCCTGGTGGCTGGCAGCAGGGCACCGTGCCATGGTGGTCTTGGTGTGGTGGCCTGGGGACCTTGAGAGGAGCCATGATCACTGCTTATCCATTAGGAGTGCTCAGTGTGGGGTGGGGATGTGGCTCAGGGGCAGAGCGCTTACCTCGCTTGTATGGGGCCTGGGATCCATTCCCAGCACTGCAGAATAGAAGAAAAACAACAGTACCAAGCCTCGTGTTAGTCTGGGAGCTTGGATGGTTTGTAGTCTGAGCCTCGGCATTTGTGGAATGGGTATTGGTGTTATCTCCGTTGTGTGGTTGAGGTGGTACAGGGATCTGATCAGAGAGGATGGGGAGCCAGCCCAGTGTCACAGCCTGACTGCCCATGAGCCTCTCCCCATCCTATTGTGTTTTACAGAACTAGTATACGTTTTAATATGTAAATACACTACTTATCAAAAACTAAGCATAGATAGTGGAAAGGTCTCCCTCCTCCAGTCTCATTCTTCTCTATGTATTACGTAGCCTTCTCTAACTATCCAATGCATAGCTCACATAGGTTTTTAACTGGGTATATCTTCGGGACAGTTCTACGTCAGGTGTCCAGGTATGATACATATGTGTTTTGTAACTCTGTACAGCATTTCCTTGTACAGATGAGCCAGAAATTTATATAGCAGCCTGGTGGGTGATAAGACGGACAGTTTCACGTCCATCTGAATGTGCTGTGCTGACTCTCGGAGACCACTGTCTTTGCATCTGTGCAGGTGCACCTGTGAGCTTGGCCCTCAGGTAGAGGTGCTGGGCCAAGGGTGTGGGGTCACAGATGCTTAAACTTTCGTGTAGCACAGTGCATCACCAACCCGATGATGTAGACTGCTATTACTGCAAGGATTTCTCAGCGGGGACAGAAACAGTGTAGGAATCAGGTCACGGTTAGGGAAGTGCAGGGAGCCCTGTGTAAATATGGTCTTCTAAATATGAGGTGAGCAGGCTTGTGCAGGCACTCACGGCTCTTAGATATGAGGAAAGAGTTTTTTCTAAAGCTGCTTTAACCTGTAAGACCACCAAGAGTCCACTCCCCCAGCCTCAAATATGGGACCCTCCAGAATCTTTGAAAACATGGATTCTCTTTCTTCATACTCAGAAGTAGGTAAGGTGTTGCTGCCCCAGTCGCAATTGTGAGTGGTCTCTGGTGGCAAAGCTTTCCAAGGCTTTCTTTTTTTTTTTTTTTGGTTTTACTCCGGTACCGGGAACCGAACTCACGACCTTGCGCTTGCCAGGCAGGCGCTTTTGCCGCTGAGCTAAATCCCCAGCCCCTCCAAGGCTTTCAATATAAAAAAAAAAATCTTGGTTTTGAGTTTACTTAACATGTTCATGACGGGGCTATAATTTGGATGTCTCACTGCTGGGAGGCTTGAACCACTGGTGCTACATGTGTGACTGACCCATTGGGTAGCTTTTTATTAACTTTATTAGCAAAAATCTCAATAAAAATGATTAAATCTGTTTGTACCAGCAGTGGTACAGATGATTTCTATCCAGGCATAGTGGGAGGCCCACACCTGTAACCTCAGTTACTCTGGAGGCTGAAGCCTGGTCAACATAGGAGGCCTTCTCGAGATAAGAAAACGGGCTGGGGATGTAGCTCATGGTGAGGCCCTGAGTTTACTCTCCAGTGCCCCCAGCACGCAAGCAAATACACATGATTTCTAGCTCTATTTTGTACTGACTAGAAATATTAACTGAGCTTATGATTCCACATCTACCTACTTTACAGGGAGACCTGGATGGGGCTGAGTTGTTGATGAGTTTGCGTTCCTGTGAGAAAGCTTGCCTGGCCAGGGAGAATCAGCTCCCAGGGCCAGCGTGCACCTGGAGCAGGGCCCATTTGGGGTGGTTCCTCGGGACTTGGGTGCCCAGGCTTGTGTCTTCACTCACGTGCCGTCCTGTCCTTCCTACAGGTTATTTTCCGTTTTGCCCTGGCAGTTTTTAAATACAAGGAAGAGGAGATCCTGAAATTGCAGGACTCAATGTCTATATTCAAGTATCTCCGCTACTTCACTCACACTATCCTTGATGCTCGGTGAGTCCCAGGAAATGCCCTCCCTTCCCCCAAAAGGCCAGGGGAACAGAAACTTTCTGCCCCCACAGCATAGCTAGTCTCTGCTGTTGTCATACTTGGGTGCTGTGTGGGAGAGGGAATTCCCTTCCTGAGAGAAGAAACAAGAAGGGGTGTGACCTTTTGGAGATTAGAGGGGAACTGAGATGAAATTGGTTTTATCCTTCAACCAGCAATGTGAATCCCATTAACCAAAAGCCACGGTTTGCGTGTCTGTAGCTGTTTGTTGAGTGTGCTTTGAATCGGGCCTGTGCCGGGCATGGGGTGCTGGATGGAGTTTGGTGGTGGGGGAAGCAGGCCCACCCTATGGTGCTGTGACCAGGAGGCCCAAGCAGAGGGCCTAGGCTAGGAAGGATGATGAGGGGAGATGCTAGGCAGAGCTCCTCCTGGGGCAGCATGCAGAGATGTGGGAACGAGTGCTTGGGGACCTGTGGAAGTGGATCAACCGGGTCATCAGTCTGCCCAAGAGTATAGCTGGCCACGGCAGAGCTGCGCTGTCTGGGCTCTTGCAAGCTTCCTAGCACTAAGAGTACCAGAAGTCACCATGGATGACTTAGGCAAGAGAGGAACAGGTCACGTTGGCATAGAACCAGCCTCTGGGAGTTCAGGGATGATAGGTGTGAGAGGGGTCCTGGCAGGAGAGGAGCCGGCCCGGAGCTGGAGAGCTGGGGCAGACCGAGGAGAGAGGATCTGAATCTGGAAGAACACAGGCTCTGGCTTGGGCAGCCGAGCATTCGGAATCACTCTGTCTTGGGTTCATTATGTCCCCTGGACCACAGAGGGGGTGTTTGTTGGCAGCAGCAGGAGCCAGTGGATGATGCACAGGCTCTTTGGCATCCTCACTGTTTTGGTGTCTTTCACTTCAGGCTGCCAGGATCAACAGTGACATGCACAGCAGGGGCTTGATCTCTGTCTGCCCAGAGGATATCTGAGGGTTATACTTGCCTGTGAGCACTGCCAGGTCCTTACGAGCCTCAAGAGCTTTCTGTTAATGTCAAGAAAGACCCCGGATGGGCTCCTGCAGGCCCACAGCTAACCCTGTGTTCAAAGCCTTTGGTTCAGAGATGGAGCCTGCTCAGCCTGCCAGGCTGTCCTGTCAATGCCTGTCAGGCCTGGGGAGCACCCACCAAGTCATGTATGGTCCTGCAGCGCCTCCTTGTGAGCAGTGTGGTGCAATTGCCCTTACTTTAGAAAGTCCAGGCCTTCAAATTACCCTGAATGTGTGTTGGCAGGATTATGGGTGGTGGGTGGTGCTGTCAAGACTGAAGGTGCCCAGGCCCCTCTGCATGGGGCCCCTGATAGTTTAATAGACGCCCCCGCAAGAATGGTTCCAGGGTGTACCAGTTCTGCAGCACATGGGTGGGTCTCACCGCACAGGCACATCCAGGAGATGCTGTGTGATGCAGGTTGAAATGGTCTCTGCAGCAAGATCCCTGGGTGACCAGAAGAGCTGAACATTGCAGGGTAGAATCTGGGTCTGCCTGTGCTACTTCTGGGCTGATGGGCCAGCCAGCTTCCCACCCAAGGAGCGGAAATATTAGCACTGCACCCCCAGTGCTCTCTTTCTGTAGCAAAGGAGGGGATACTAGGTCTTGGGTTTGTGGAGCCCATGGGTTCATAGCTGCAGGAGGGAGGGCTGCTGTGTGGTCCTCCAGGACCTGGTCCTTGCTGTGTTTTATTTCCTAGCCAGTCTGCACACAGCGTCCCTTGCTCAGGGCTGCCCTCATCTCTGAAGCACACCTGTCCTAGAACACTGTAAGCTTGGCATTGAACAGAACTGGCCTTGCTTGCCTGGCATCTCCTTGCCAGAGTCCTCAGGTTCGTCAGGCATGCCTGAATCGTAGAGTAGTAAACACGGAGGAGGAGTTGTAAGGCCTGTCCCTCTGCACTTTGCACAACAGGTTAAATATAGCCCACAGGTCTGCGTTATGGCAGGGGTGCTACTCTGACTCAAACCTCCTGGCTGCACCCGTGTCTGACCCTCAGTTGGCAGGCAGGGTATGGCCTCTGTTGGCAAAGCCAGCTCTCTGTGTCTAGGAGCAGTGGGCTGACCTTAGTGCTGGGAGCAACAGCAGCCTTGGGAGTCTTAGTTCTGTCTTAGAGAGCTAGGCAGTGGTTAAAGGCAAGTTACAGTTTTGTAACTTGTTGAGAATTGGTCCTTGGCCCAGGGGTGATAGAAACCCTCGTGGCTCACAGGTCTGTGTTCCTGATTATTTGTCACTGCTGGTTTGCTCAGGCATCCTCCCCTGCTCAGTCCATCTGGCCTGGCACTGGCCCTGAGGACTTATACCCACCAGCACCCATGGATGTGGAACAAGCACCAGGCAGTGCTTTGAGACTTTGTGCCCCCATGCTCTGGGAGGAGATACCCAGCGTTCCCAATGTTCTGATGGGAGTCAGGCGAAAAGACAGGTGTAGCAGACCTAGAATCTGTGTCTGGGCAGGATGCAGGAACATTCCCCTGGCCACTGTGCCCTCTGTGGGAGGCATGTCACCCACCCAAGCCCCCAGCATGGTGTCCCTCCTGTCTGCCCCTGGGCTTTGCTGCTGTGGGGGCTGTGGAGAGCACTTAGAGAGCTTCACTGACCCCCTTCTCTGTCCTTCATCACACCAGGAAGCTGATCAACATCTCCTTTGTGGACCTGAACCCCTTTCCGCTGCGCCAGATCCGGAACCGACGTGCCTATCACCTGGAGAAGGTGCGGCAGGAGCTGACTGAGCTGGAGGCCATCCGTGAAGACTTTCTGCGTGAGCGGGAACCTGGCCCTGACAAGGGCGGGCTGGTCAGCGATGAGGAGGAAGATGCCTGAGTGACCCCTCCCCCAGTTGCTGCTCTTTGCTATGGTAACCAAAGTGTGTCCAAAGTGAACTGCAGGGGTGCCTGCTCATTTAATGCCCAAGTGTAACATCTGTGGCCTCTGGGACTCTGTGGGGCAGATGTCCAGAGCCAGACTGCACTTTCTCATCCCACTTGGGGCTGGAGAGGGATCTGCTCTATTTACAGCCAGCACTGTGCCGTAGCATTTGGTCATATGCGTTACAATCCTGCTTTCTGCCTGACTGGTGAATCACTGCCCACTTAGCAGCTGGCTGTCTCCAACAGCCTGTTTACAGCTTTTGCCAGCTGGGTTGGTCTTTACCCCATGAAAACTGGCCTTGCTGGGTACTTCCCGTGTTGTTACTCCTCTTGTACATAGTGAGCAGCTGTGCATGTCTTAAACAGCAGCACTTGGAGGATGCACCAGGGGTTGAATGTGGCTGTTTCCATGGGGTGAGGTCACTGTGCACAGAGGGGCTTCCTTAAAAAGCAAGCATACCTTTGTTCTGGAGTGGCCTCTGCTGAAAGCCCAGGAGCTTTCCTCTGCCCTCCTTTCACTAGTGGCTCCCCCTCCATGTGGGGGGCCTGGTCCTGCACTAGCCCTGCGTGGGACAGTTCTGCTGCAGCTTTCCCTGTGCTTGGCATCTGTGGAAAACTTTCCATCTGGAAGGTGACTTATGGAAGCCATTCCTTACATATGGCTGGGGTAGGATTCCAGGTGAACTGCCTGCCCCTGGTGAGGTTGCAGAAGCAGCTATGGGGTTGCTTTGCAGGTGGCTGCACAGCTGCTGGGAAAGATCCCAGTGCTCCTGTATTTTCCTGTACTGGAGCTTGACAATACCTTTGCTGAGGCCAGGGCTCATGGGAGCTCTCACCCAGTCCCGTGTGGCTGCCACACAGCCTTGTTCTTGGTGAAGATATGGGGTCCAAATGGCCTTGTTCTTGGTGAAGATATGGGGTCCAAATGGCCTCTGACATAATAGGCTGCCAGGCAGGTCCTGGCTAATTTGTTTTGAGCCCTTTGGGACCATCCCTGAGGTGTGGATGTTCTAAGTGTATGTTTCCTGGCACACTATTAGTACAAGGGAACAGTCTTACATGGAATATTTTACACTACCTGGAAAAAATTGAAAATGTTCTCTAAACATACTCAGACTTAAGAATTGAGGCAGTGCAGTTTCAAGAAGTGCTCCTGTAACCCTTATTCCTTTTTTTTTTTTTTTAACTGTTGGCTTCCTAGCAGTTTTGTGGCTGGATTCCTACTTCAGCAACTCAGCTTCTGTCTTTGGTGAAGTTGCTTTACTATGCAGAGGGAGCTGGTCTCTCTATTCAGCCATTTGTCTGTTTGGGTATCAGAAATGTGTCTTGCCATTGTGTATGTCTTGGGAGTGGTTTTTAAGGCCTGGCCTCTCCAGAAAGCAGCCCATGAGTAAGGAGCCACAGTCTGCCACTGTTCTCAGGTACAGGCCACCTGCTGGCAGACCCCATCCCTCCTCCGGAGAGGCTGTTAGCCTGTGACAGCTGCTGAGGAGGCACAGGGGATAGGTGAGTTCCTCCGGGGTCAGCTCCAGCTGCCCCCAGTTTTTAGTTCCCAAGTCAGTTTCCTACACATCAACCCAAGCTGCCTCATTCAGGGGCCAAGAGTAGTCCCTCAGGAATGCACATGTTTGGTCTGGCTTGTCCTGGAAACATGCTTTACCACAGCACCTGCACAGCTAGGACTGCTCTGTGGCCACGCAATATGGGAGAACAGAGTGGTCCTGGAAATGGACTGGGTGCCTCCCTGGAGGGGAGGTGTTGGCCTGGTTCCAGGCTGGGGACAGGACAGGCAGAGCCCCACTGTTTTTGCATCAACATTGCCCAGTCTCTCCTGCAGTCAAGAGACCTGCTGCTGTCCCTGGTGCCCCTCAGGCTCCGCCACCAGCTGCCTGAGGAGCTCCTTCTGGCCAAAGCTGACACACTGCTCATCTTGCATGTGGTCTTGCCTGCTGGCCATGCGCATGTGCCAGAGCTGGGGGAGTCACCAGCTCTGCAGTCAGTGTTTTTTTGTTTTTAAATCCGTTGAACCTGTTAATACTTTTGTATATTTTTACTACAGTTTATATTTTTGTAGGCTATTTTATCACGTTTTTTCTAGATTCTGTACATCTATTTTCTATAACAAGTTCTATTTTGTGTGCACGACTCCTTTGCATGTATTTATGTAAGCCTGAGCCTCCCTCTACACCACCTTTACCTCCAGGCATGAGCTCTGTGTCTGTGTGGACTCTGTCCTCACCCTTCTTTCCCTGGTAGCTTGGATGCTGCTTGTCATCAAGCTGACAGCTCAACAGTGGGAGGTAGGACTTCGGATTGCAGGGAACACTGGTTTCCAATAAGCTGCATTGACATAGGAAGCATGGTAGGCAAACCCCAATCAGGTTTTCCTAATGAAGTGTTTGCACTGTTGCATGAGCCCCCCTCGTTGTATACAGTGTTGTCTTTTTGTGCAGCAGGTGACTGTCCTTCTATATGACAGCAGCTTCTGTACTGATGTTCAGGTTAAAATAAACTCCTTTATGTAATGTTCTGTTTGGGCCCATCCCAAGGGCGGGGGCTCACCTACCAACCTGGACTTCGACTCTGGGTGTCTCTGCCCAGTGGGGTGGGGTGGCTGGAGCAGGATGCTTCTGCCAGCATCGGTGGCCCTAAGAACTGTGGCCAAGCTATAGGCCAGGTCTGAGGACAGTGGCAGGAGCCAGGATTCAGACACTGTCTGTGTCCATAGAAGCCTCTGCAGAGGACAGGTGGTTTCCTGACAGCTGTCCAGGCCTGCCTGGTCATTGGCTCATTTGCCTCCTGCCCAGCAGACAGCCCAGGCCTAGCTGCCACTGTGGGGAGCACCACTGGAAAAACACACAGACATGACTGAGACCAAATATCCTTCCACAGGGTGGGAGTGGTGGGGTGACCCTAGAAAGCATGACCACAAGGCAGGCCTGAATTGTAAGCTGCTCTCTGTGGGGAACCTGAGGTTGCACTGTGGAACAGTAATGGTGGAGGTGCACTGGGGACCCGAGGGTTGCCCCCGTCCCTGTGAGGTCTGCTGCCTGATGAAGCCTGGAGATGCTGTTGGCGCGGGTACCCAGGACCTCCTCACAAAGACAGATAGGATGCAGGCCTGTGCTTTCCTGACAGACCTCAGATGACTTCCTTCCACCATGGGGTCCTGCCTGGTGCATGGAGGGCACCATGGAGGACACTCGGTGCTCAGAAGAAGAGACGGAGACTTGGGGTCTCTGTTAGGCCTATGCCGCCTAAGCATATGGCTGGGCTGTCACCTGGAATAGGGAATGTTTAGGATCAGGTGGGCAAGGTGGCTGGGAGCACCAGGTACACAGCTTCACTACATCCTGACAGTGCCCTATGCCCACACCCCCCACCCTTCTGGCACAGATATGGTGTTGATTATTCTGCCCCTGGATGTGGTCCTATGGTCTCAGTCCCTGATGGGTGATTCCCAATGTGCCCACCCCAGCCACAAAGCCACAAAGCCTAGCAGAGTGCCCACATGCTGCCCTTGGCATCTGACAATCTGGGGTGTATGCTAGAAAATGGAATGTGACAGAGCACCCTCAGATTCAGAGAAGAGGCCTAACACTTCCAGGAGGGAACTTAGAAAAGAGGTGAAAAGTCCAAGGTTGCAGCCAGAGGGAAGGTGTGGATGTGGCTGGGCCTGGGAGGATGACATGTTCAGTCCTCCCTGTCTGAGAACCATGACACCCACCTGCTCCCTGATATGTGTACACCTCAGCCTGGTTCCACAGGGGGAGGCTGTGGTTAGGCAGATGCCATGTTGCTGGGCCACAAGTCAGTGTGGTGAAGCTGGTGCCAGGGTTGGCAGTGGAGAAGGGGCCACTGCCAGCCCAGCCCCACCCGTGAGCACTGTTTGAGATGAAGGAAAGGGACGATGGGAACCAGGAGGAGCAAGGAGGTCCAGGCTACCCCTTTCCTCCCCATAATTCCCCTTCAGGAAATAGCAGAGCAGAGGGGCCTGGGGCAGCCCCTGCAGGTGATAAGGGGCTCTGCCGCTGGAATGTGTGTGCCTCCACCCTGTGAAACACGTCCCTGAGAGCTTGAGTGGGGACCCTGGGAGGGATGGGTGGTGGACTCCAAGTAAATGGCATGGTTTGAACCAGACCATATACCTCTACCCTGTCCCGTGCCCAGCCCTCTGCAGCAGCCTCCCCAGATGCACCTCTGCCCTGGTGGCCTCCATACCCACATTCAGTGCCACTCTACTCAGGAGCAGAGGCACAGCTGTGGCCACAGAAGGTCCAGCATAAGAAGAAATGGTGAAGGATAGAGGGTAGGGCTCTGCTTGAGGTTTCCTGATCTGAGATGAAGCCAAGCTGTGCTTTGGAACAGTAGATATTTATGTAAATAACAAATGTCATGCAAACCTTTACAATAAAAAAATACTTTTCCTGAGGGGATGGGTCCCTACCTGCCCTTGGGCGGGCAGGATTAGCACCATGGGGCATGAGGGGCAGCGCTGAGGTCTGTGTGTCATGGGCAGCCTGACTGTGTGTCCTGCCCAGGTCCTTGTCAGCGGCGGGCTACCTGTGAGTGGCCATGGGACAGGCCCTTGTGGTTAGATGGGTGACATGAGCGGCAGCACTGGACACGAACATTGGGCATCTCACAGTGGCCCATGATGTGCAGGAGCTCGCAGAAGTTGAAGGACAGACGGTCTTGCTCGCAGCCTGGACACAGGGCAGGCACAGGTCAGGCAATGGGCCAGGTGCCACATTAAGAGGCTCCCTAGGATATTTACCTGTGCTACCCTCCAACCCCAGTCTTAAGAGATATCAGCAGGCAATTCCAGGGCACAGGACCCCTGCCCTCCCATTTCTAGAGGAGCTCTCCTGGCCCTAGACCTGCAGGTTACCAGTTGTGGCTATCTATCCCTGTCCCACTTGCCCATGGCTGGGCCTGAGATATGGAGAGCTGGCTCAGGTTTCTGGAAGAAAAATGTTGAGACTGCATCTTCGTTCACCTTCAGGAGACCTGTGCTTGAGCACCTGGGGGCATCTATCCCAGATTTATCTCAGGTGACTAATCCTAACCCTCCTCACCTCAGGAGACCCCATCCAGACCACCTCAAGAAACCCCATACTAAACCACTCAGGTGACTCATCCTAACCCATCTCACTTGAGACCTCATCCAGGACTACCTCAGGTGACCCATTCTAGTCCATCTCACCTGAGAGAGATTCCATCCTAGCTCATCTCATGTCAGAAGATCACATCCTGACCACCTGATGACCCCAACTAGACGCCCTCAGGAGACCCATCCTAGCTTTCACCTCAGGAGAGCCCATCCTAGCAAACCTCAGGAAACCCCATTCTAGACCACTCAGGTGACCCTTCCCACTTCATGATACATCATCCAGTACCACCTCAGGAAATCCATTCCACACCACTTTAGGAGCCTCCATCGTAGCCCACCTGAGGTGACCTATCCTAGACCACCTCAGGAAACCCCATTTCAGACAGCTCAGGTGCCCCATCTTGACTTCACGTCAGGAGATCTCACCTAGCCCACCTCACTTCAGGAGACTCTATCTTTGCTCTCCTCAGAAGACCCCATTCCAGACCAACCAGGTGGCCCGTTCTAACTGTTCTCAGGAGATGCCAGCCATGGCCACCTCAGGTGACTCCATCCTAGCTCTCCTAGGGAGACCTTATGGGAACCCACCTTACTTCAAGAGATTTCACGGTGGCCCATATTAGTGCACTCCATTCTAGACCACTTCACCCCAGGAGACCCCATTCTAGACCACTCAGGTGACCTTCCTAACCCTCCTCACCTCGTTATCCCATCCTAGACCACCTCAAGAGGTCCCATTCTAGACCATTCAAGTGTCCTAACCCTCCTTACCTCAGGAGATTTCCATCCTAGCCCTTTTCAGGTGATACCCTGCTACCCATCTCACCTTGGGATACCCCATCCTAGACCATCTCAGGGGAACCCCCATCCTAGCTAACCTAAGGAGACCCATTGTATCACCCATCTTGGCCTGTCTTGCCTTAGGAGACCCCCTTCTAGACCACTCAAGTGAGCCATCCTAAACCTCCTCACCTCAGGAGACCCCACGCAGAATGACTTCAGGTGACCCATCTTACTGTACTTCCAGAGCCCCTATCCTAGCCTACCTCACATAACCCATCCTAACCCACCTCAGGAGGCCCCATCCTGTCCCTCATCAGGAGGTCCATCCTAGCCACTTCAGGTGACTCATTGTAGCCCACCTGAGGAGAGACCCCATCTTAGTCTACCTCAAGAGACTACATGCTAAAGGGCCAGGGACATAGCTCAGTGGCACAGCACCTGCCTGGCAAGCGCAAGGTCCTGAATTCGATTCCCAATACCAAAAAAAAACCCCGAAGTAAAAAAGAGTCCCTTCTAGACCACTCAGACATCCTAACCTACCTCATGTCAGGAGTAGCCCACCTTAGTGTACTTCTTCCTGTACCATCTCAGCAGACCCATCCCAGACTACCTCAGGAGACCTTTTCCTAGACCACTTTAGCAGACCTCATCTAGACCACCTAAAGTACCCAAAGGGCCCACCCAGGGTATCATGCCCCCCCATCTCTGTTTGCCCCTAATACCTGACAAATCCTGGCACACCACTGAGTATCAAGGCAGCTCTGCCAGTCTGCAGTGGTCTGTGTTCCACACCCATGCCACCTCCCCTCCGTGCCTGGACACGATACTGGGCCTTAAGCAACACCTCCTGATTTGTGGGGCCTCACTGGGTTCTTGGGCCAGAGTAGGGGGCCACCCCCACAGCCAGCCCAGGGAGTGGGCCTTGTGTGCAGTTACAAAGGCCATCAGGGTGAGGCAGGAGGTAGAGCAAGGACAAGTGAACAACAGGAAACCCTGGGGCAAGAGTCGAGAGACCAGGCCAACCAAGGACGATGACGTCAAAAACATCAGGAAACCACCAGATAAAGGCCACCCTGTTACCCAGAACCCCCAGGCATGCGCACAACCAAAATGAGTGTGCAGCCTCATTTGTATACACACACACACACACACACACACACACACGCGCAATGGGCTTTGGACAGTCTGATCCTTCTAAAAGCCTTGCACAGTCAGAACCTCCCCACCAATAGGTGGGCTAAGTCAGTACCCTACTGGGCCAGGACCCCAGCTACAGGTCCTCCCGTAACCCCAGGCCGGAGAGAGCCAGCACTGCCCCTGTAAACAATGAGCTGTTGCCCCGGCACTCTCAACGTGGTGGCTTTAGCTTCATTCCCTTTAATGCATCTCTTGCAGTTCCCTCTGACTGTTGTGCTTAGTTCTTTGGGACACCAAGAACCTGGAAACAGCTCCCCAAGACCCCCACCTAGTTACAAGGGTGTTGAGCAGGCCAGAGTGTCCACCATCACCCTTGCCTATCCTCCCTCCTTTGCTCCATGCAGCATCCTCCACCAGCGGCTGGCTGCCCAGTGGCCATGCTTTGCTGCCCTGCCCCTGGCAGGAGTGTCCCTCCCACCTCAACTCCATTGCCTCAAGGCCCTGCAGAAGTGCCAGCCACTGAGCTCTCCTTACCCAAGCTGAGTGCAGGCCCTGGGGAGGGGGCTACAGACTGCTTTCAGGGACTAGGCTTAGAGACCCTCCTGCCCTGAGCCATCTATTTTGGGATGCGGCCTCCAGCCTCTGGCCTTGCTTCCTGTGTTGCTGATGGCCCCCAGCTGCCTCCCAGCCTGCTTACCACAGACTTGGGCCCGAGGAACGTAGGCACACCCCCTCCCGCACTCTCCCACTCCTGCTCTGGAGTGCTGCAGACGTAACTTCTATGGAGAATCTGGGATGCTTCTTAGCCTCTCAGGCCTGTTTCCTCCACCGGCAAGCAAGGTGACCACACATTCTGAGTTCTCAGGGTTTCCAAACATCCTGCCGCAGTTGCATGACTATCCTAGCATCCTGGGAATTCCTGGGTCTCAGAGTCTAACACCTCCCGGGGCATCTTTGCTGTGGCAGAAAACTCACTTGGGAGGACTGCCTGCTCAACTACCTCCCCACCCTCCACATACCTCCTACCTCCCAGCCTACCCCAGAGGCCATGAAGCCCAAGCCCCCAAATCAGGCTTGTTGCTAATTCTTGCTAATCATTGGGTCCTCATCACCCAACTCTTCGTGGACCCTGATCTGCATATGTGGGACCGGAGAGCACAGCCTCCTCCAGCCCCAGGCTGTATGCAGGACAGTGCCAAGACAGGCAGGGGCCACACAGGAGAGCTCAGTGGCTGGCACTTCTGCAGGACCTTGAGGCAATGGAGTTGAGGTGGGAGGGACATTCCTGCCAGGGGCAGGGCAGCAAAGCATGGCCACTGGGCAGCCAGCTGCTGGTGGAGGATGCTGCACGGAGCAAAGGAGGGAGGGTAGGTGAGGGTGATGGCTGGATACTCCAGCCTGCTCAACAGCCACACTGTGTCCTGGGGACAGGGACAGTCAGCAGGCAGGCACGCTGCTCTGTGCATGGGATGCCACACCTGCGTTCCCTTGCTGCACAGGTGGCCCTGGGTTCTCCCTGACAACAATGGAGGACAGTAGTGGCTGCCACAAGGAGAGGACGAAGTCACCTATCCTGAGCATCTCTTCAGTAGAAGAAATAAAAACTAGGTAGAAAGGAGACAAGGAAATCAAGATTTTAAAATTGTACTTAACTGCTGCTTCAGAATACAAGTTACTCAAGCCTTTTCCCTTCAAAAAAACAGAAAACAGAAATTCCCAAAAGTCTTCGAGCCATAGTAAGCCTCTAAACCTGTGCTCTGGACCTGTCCTTTGCACCAGTAAATTGTGCTTCCTCCACCCTGGAGGAAGCAGCAGTATTGGTGGGCAGCAGATCTCAACTTCAAACACATGTAAGTGGCTGGCACTGTGACCCAACAGACAGCGAGAATACGCATCTTAGATTACCATCTCAAAGACACCCTTGAATACAACCAGTTCTGGCATATGGCCTGCATTCCACTCGAGTGCATCCTGAAACTTCCCATCTAATAAACCTTTCTCTTGCCTCTTACTGAAGAGTCCTAAAAATTCTTTTCTCAAGATGGGAGTCAAGGAAACTGTAAACTTATTCTATAAGGGTGGGATATTTCAGCCTCAGGGACCCTCAGACCCCGCGGTGACACTTCTAGGTGCCTCACAGAGCTGGGCCTTCACCCCAGACCCTGTCTGTGCAGGGACACAGGCTGGTAGCCCCTCACACATGAAGAAGGGAAGCGGAGCCCAAGGCCACTCAGCACATGACCAGACCCAGGTGCGAGTCCAGAGCCATGGGGTTTCCCGTGCACAGCACTGCTGGGGGCAGCTGAGGCTCAGGAAGGAAGTGGGGGTTGGGGTCCAGAGCTACCTCTGGCCCAGGCCCTTCTGTCCGCCCAAAGGACCCAGCTGGCCCGGAAGCCAGCAGCACTGGGCGCTGGCAGTGTCCGGAGGAGGCCCTTCCTCTAATCCCTTTGCTCACTCCTGGCTTCCTCCTTCAGTTGGCTGGGAGTTGAGGGTCTTTGGGACATCCTGGCTTTCCCAGGAGGGAATAGGGGCTCGCTCAATGGCACACAATTTGAGGGGCTCACCGCCACGCCCCTGTGGCTGGAGAAGCTGCCTGTGACCACTGGCTCAGCTGAGCACCCCTGGAGGGCTGGTGTCCAGCATGGGGCCCCTTCTGCCTCCCCATCATGGCCACATGGCCCTGGAGTCCACACTACAGAGGGAGCCCGCCAGTGCTTTGTGAAGATGGCTTCCCCATCGTCTGCACCCCGCCCTACTTGCAGCTGAGCCTGGGAGAGGGGACACTCACGTGGGGGCTCAGTGACCTCACAATCCTTCGCAGTGCACACCCGGGAGCCCTCGGGCCGGACCTCGTGGCCGCACTGGTCGCCGTCCTCCTCACGAAGCCCTGTCCGCACGTTGACACACTTGACCAGGCGCCGCTGGACTCCCCCTCTACAAGGTGCTGAGCACTGCACGGGAGGGGAGGAGAGTCCTGGCGGCCGCGCCCACAGTGGCAGTGTGGGGGTCTTGGGCAGTGCCCTGGGCCTGAGCAGTCTCCACGGGGTGTGGGGTGGGGAAACGCCCTGCAGGATCTGCTCCCACACAGGGGAAATGGGCAAGGGAGCGAGCCCCTGCACAATCCCGCCTGAGGCCTGGCAGACTGGCCAGAGTCCTGGACAAGAACCACGGTGCCCCAGGACAGCAGAGGGAAGCAGAAAATCGAGAAGTTTCTCAGCCAGAACCGCATCCTAAACTGGGCTTTGTTCTCATCAGCTGGGGACCTGGTGGGTGGTGTGAAAAGCCCGAGAACAAGTTTCAGCGTGCAGACTCGGGTGGGCCTCATGCTTAATTGTGCTACTTTATGTTTCCCGGCCCACGCCATCCCCATTAAGAACAGATAAACATGGTCCAGCAAGGCAAAGCCACCTGCCAGTCACTCAGCAGCTTTCTGGGACCAGGACTTGAATGCAGGCCCTGCTACCATCAGGGTCTGGTTCAGGGGCAAATCTGAGATTCCTGAACCTCCAGGCTCCAGAGAGGTGTGGCACAGAGCATTTCTGCTCACCATGGGCCCCTCTCTGTCCCCTTGTCCCATGGTCTCTGGCTCAAGGATCTTCACTTCCTGTTGCTTTGGCCCTCTTCCAGGCATCTCTGACCCTCTGTGGGGTCAACCAAATCTCCTCCTAGGCTTACCTGGTGTCCCAGCACCCAGCCAATCCGCACCCTCCACTCCCTTCCAGCTCCCTGCTGCGCCTGCCGCCCAGCTCACCTGGCCCCAGGGCCCTACCACCCACTGTGTGCAGGGGTGGGTGTTGCAGGGCTGAGTGGCGTTGGGTCTCAGAGCCTCCTCACAGAGGCCCGGCTCCGGACAAGTCACCAGACGCTGCTGCTCGCCACCGCCACAGGCTTCGGAGCACTGGGAGGGAGGGGCCTTGTCAGCATGGCCAGGTCAGCCTGGCCAGGTCTTGGGGAGGACCAGGCCCACCCCAGACGCCTCCTCACCTCTCTCCAGGAGGAGGTGTACCAGCTGAGGCAGGGCTGGGTCCCGCAGGGCTGGCGGGAGGGTGGCTTGGTGGGCCCGGGCTGGCAGTGGAAGGGCCGCAGCGGTTGGAGATCCTGCGTGTTCACACAGTGCACGTCCCGCACTGCAGAGCCTCCACCGCAGCTGCGGGAACACTGGGGGACAGGGACATGTGTGACACACCAAGCACGTGCACACACTTATAACCTGGGGGCAGAGGGATGTGCAACACACCCTATACATGTAATCCTGGAGCCAGGGATGTGTGTGGACACACCCCATGTGTGCACACACGCTTATAACCCAAGGCCCAGGGGTGAGTGTGTGGATGCTACATGCGCACACGCGCTTATTACCCCAAGGATCAGGGATACATGAATGCACCCCATGTGCATGCAAACGCTTATAACCCAGAGGTCCAGACATATCCCATGCATATGCACACACTTATAGCCCAGAGGTAGAGGAACACACGTGGATGTACCCCACACCCATGCACACATAATCCTGGGGCCCAGGGATGTGTGTGATACACCAAGTACATGTATATGCTTATAACCCAGGGATGTGTACACTTTCATTACAGGAACACACAGATTTATAACCCATAGGCCTAGAGATATGCCCACATGCACACACATACAACCCACATGTGAACCCCACCAGCATTCACACATTATAACCCAGGGGCCCCAGGACATGTGTGTGGATGCAGCCCATGTGCACGCACACGCACACACACATATAACTGATGAGAACGTAGCTGGGCAGACATCAGACCCCATCCCCATGCGAGCACAAGGGGAGGCTAGAAGTGGCCAGCCCTGGGCAACAGGTGGAAGACCAGAGGCTGGCACAAGCTGGAGCAGATGGAGACGAGGCAAAGCAGAGTGGGCAAAAGGGAAACCTGGAGGGGTAGGGAGTAGAGGAAAGCAGATGCCCCCTGGAGCAGGGGCCAGGCTGGGTCATGATGAAGCTGAAGAGATTCTAAAGACATCAGGAGTGAATCTGCACAGATGGCTGTGTGGAGCCCTTGCACAGCTGCTCTTCAACTCTGGTCCTGGGGTGCAGGGGCTCCATCCTGTATGTGGGTCTGGCCCTGGCCTCCCCTGCACACACCTTACTCCAGTTCCCTGTGTACCAGGCAGCGCAGGGCCGCAGGTGGCAGTGGCGGGCAGGCTGGGGCCGCCCAGCAGGGGCGCAGTCTTCATCCCGGCCAGAGCTGCAGTACACGGCCCTCCAGACAGCACCCAGGCCACAGGTGGTGGAGCACTGTGGGCACAGAGGCCACGAACATCAGGACGGACCTGCCTGGTGAAGCTGCCTCTGCCATGCTAGGGCCTCAGTTTCCCTTACCTGCAAGATGGACTCCTCCACCCGCCTCCCAGGGAGATGGTGAGAAAGAGGTGGAATCCTGCCACCCACTCTGCCCATGAGGGGCCTGCAGGGACACCCCCCTCCCCCGCCCCTTGTTGTTCCTGGTCCTGACAGCCCGCTTGCTAGAAATCCCAGGCAAAGCCTGTTCTTGGCCCCAGCCTGTCCCTTCCTCCTCAAGGCTGGGGCCCCTAAACACAGGCCCGTTTTTCTTGCAGTGACAATCTGGGGACCTGGGAGGGCATCCGGGCCAGCTCCTTCCCATCCCCGGTGGGTTCCTGACAAAGCAGTGGAGCCACTGAGGGGACTGCCTGGTGGCAGATCTGAGCAGCTTGGAGGAGCTCCGTGTGCAGGTGAGCTCCCTGTCCCTGAGGGCATGCAAGCCTGTGTTTCTTGGTGCAGCTGCTGCCGTCCCCATAATCCCGTTACTCAGGAATGGGCCTCTGGGGACTTAAGAAACAGGCAGATGGGGTCCTCCTCCACGTCACTGAGGCTCTATGGGACAGAGTGGCCCAAGGCCACCTGGTTGCAGGTGCAGCGCATGCACAACCTCTGACTGGTGCCTCAGGTGGCCTCCCTCTGCCGTCGGATCTCCATCCACCTCGCAGCAGATGGACAGGAGCCCAGCCCAGCCCTGCACCACTTGCCTGGCTCCAGTTCCCCACTTGCCAGCTGGCATTCCTGGCAGGCAGGTCTGTGGGGCGGCCCTCCTCAGCTGTTGGGGGCACAGGCTCCATCACTGTCAGGGGGCTGTCCTGCTCCCAGGTCCTGGGCACAGGAGTGGTGGGAGGAGGAGAGGAAACAGCCACCCCTGCCGTGGGCCACACCTCGTTGTGTGGGTCGCTCTCTGGCACGGGGTCCCAGGATGTAGTCCTCATCCCTAGCAGCACATCAGGATCCGGAAAAATGGGGGTGGGGTGGACAGGAGGCCAAGGGGGCTGCATGGGGATGGGGCCTTGGGGCAGGTGAGGTGCTCTGCGGCCTGCAGTCTCCTCACTGTCCTTGGAGATGTCATTGGCCCCATCCCACTGTGGAGGGGGTGGCCTGGTCTGGCTGTCCTCTCTCACTAGGAGCTCATCGGAGCCTACAGGGGTAGTGGGTGTCTCTGTGCTTTTGACTGAAATGGGGAGCCCAAGGTCAGGGGCACCCATGGGGGCATCTTCCTCAGGCAGGGAAGGGACCACTGGGCTCCCGGGGAACTTCTGCAAGGGTGGGGGTGGGAGGTGGTCAGCTTCCTGCTCTGCCCCCTCCTTGGCTCTGGGGGGCTCCATGGAGAGCTTAGCAGGGCTGCTCTGGGTTGGGGGCATCGGTTCCACGGTGCCCACCAGGCCTGGGCTGGGTTCCTCAAGGCTTCCGTAAGATAGGTCCTCATGGAAGGTGATGAAGTTGTAGTCATAGTAGAAGTCATCTACCCACTGGGGCCCGGGTGGGCTCAGGTCCTCGATGCGATTGCTGATGCTGTCCGACTCAGGTGTGGAGTTGGGCAGGGGGCGTGTGGCCAGGGAGTTTGAGATGAAGTCGATGTCGTTGAAGAGCTCGGGGCTGGAGGCGCCACTGCCGGAGGCCTCGGGGGCCAGCAAGTTCAGGCAGGGCTGCAGGGTGCAGGGGGCTTCGGTTGCTGGCCGGTTGGCCTCATCGCAGGGGAGGCCTGTGTCATTGGTACAGACGGTAATTCGCCGCTGAGTGCCATTTCCACACGTCACCGAGCACTGCAGAGAGGCCACGGTAAGGCTTGGGCCAGCAGAGGGCACAGAGGACACAGGACAGCGGGTCCCACACTGCCTGCTATGTGTGCCTGAGGCTTCAGGGCAGGTGCACAGCCTTGAGTGCCCTGGCTCCTCCCTCGGGGCCCCAGGCAATGAGGATCCGCATAGGTTCTTTGCCTCCCATCCAGGCCAGGGTGCCTCCTGCCCCACACTCACCTGAGACCAGTTGCCCACAGCCCAGGTGGCTGGGCAGGGCACGTTGGGGTTACAAGGGGTTTCAGCAGGAGGGCGGGGAAGGTGCTCACAGGCAGACAGGTCCAGGGCGCTCTGCTCCTCCATCCCCACGCTCTGGAGGCAGAGCACAGCCCGGCGGGAGACGCCCTTTGACCCACAGGAGCGGGAGCAGTGCTGCCACTCCCCAGTCCACCACCTGCAAGGGCACAGGCTGGCATCAGCATGCTGTGGGACAGGCAGTGGCAGGCTCTTGAGTGGGGAGGGCCAGGCTGGGGTTCTGGGCCTCAGTGTCCAGAGGATGAGTCCCCAGAGCTCCAAGCCTAGATGGATCTGTCCCTAAAGCCTGGCAACAGGACATGGCCCTCTCACACCTGCTGGCCTCCTCAGTGCACCTGTGCAAGGCCTGAGGGCTCTTTCCACATCTGCAGCCCCAAAGGGGAGTGCCTGGGGTGGCTAGGCCAGGGCTGGCTGCCCAGGGCCACCCAAAACTCAGGACCAGGGACAACCAGGGTGACAGTCGTGACCCTGGGTCCTCCCTCCAGGGGTCAGGACAGCAGGAGCTGGTGGGCAGCTCACCGGGCGGGGCAGGGCTCCTCATTGCAGGTCCTGTGGTTGTCATCGGGCCGGGTCAGGGGGTCACAGTGCCTCTCGTCCACAAGCCCTGCCTGCTGCTCTGCACAGTACACGATCTGCCTCTGCACGCCTGGGGATTTACATGGGTAGGCCCCTGCCCAGGCGGCCCCTGCACCCCAAGGCCAGGAGCCCCTAGAACAGGACCTCCCTCACCCTCCTCACCCTCACTGTCCACTGCAGCCCCCTGCAGGATGCCCTGGGACAGGCAGTAGACAGACTGGAGGGCTCTGGGTGGGCACTGTCCCACTGTTCGTGGGTGAGGCCCAGGTGCTCATTGGTGTGATGGGGATGATTATGCCGCCCCCTGAAGCCTGCGTGAGGGTCATGTGTGGCCGCAGTACAGGCTCAGCCAGCACCAGCCAGGCGGCGGCTCTGCCTGCCCCATCCCACCTGTGCCGCAGGTGGCTGTGCACTCGCTCCAGGGCCTGTGGTGCCAGGAGAATTCGGGCGGTGGCGCCGTACTGAGGCTCTCAGTTTCTCTGTGGACTGTGTACTCGTAGCGCACCCCAGGGTTGTGCTCCTGGAACAGCAGCTGGAGCGAGTGGGGGAGCCCTGTGAGGACACGGGGTCCCCTCCATCTGCCAACAGGGAGTACTCCACGGGGCGACTTTAGTGCTGCAGAAACTGAGGCAGGTGTGGTAGCAGGGTCCCATCCCGAGCCAGCTCTGTGCTGCCCCAGATTCATTCCCCAGGACCACAGCCCGCCGTGTGTATGGGGATTCCCACCTCTGTACCCCACGCTGGGCCCCAGGACGCAGCACCTGGATCCAGACAGGCTCCCTGGTGGGTCCCGGGGACGTGAGGTTCTCCCGGTTGCCCGTGCGGGTGTAGGTGAAAGTGGTGCCCGCCACGTGGTAGTCCCCATTCCACTGGATGGTCCAGCCACCGTTGAGGAAGTACTTGTCTGGGTCCTCACTGCTGCGCAGGGCCAGGAAGTTGGCAGCATCGGCCACCTCCTCAATGTGGATGTCGCGTGCGCCCGTGGGAATCAGCCCCACGTCCACGTACCCTGTTGGTCAGGGGTGTGCACAGGCCACCAGGTAGGAGGCTGGTTGCCCCTGGCCCTTCACGGGAGCCCACCTCAAGCTTGAGCTTCCCAAAGGCAGATATAGCCAGGTCTATCTTGAGCCATCAGCGCCTGCCAGGGCCCACAAACCCTGCCTTTGTGGCCACATCCTTTGCTGTCTCCCGAGAACCCTGATTAGTCTCACTGACACGCAGCTGGTCCACCCCTTGCATTCTCAGCCTGCAAAGCCTTCCAAAACTCCACAACACCTGGGCCTTCCTCCCAGGACAGCCCTCTCCTCCCCACAGGGCTGCTGTTCTTTGGGTAAGGAGCCCCTCCCCGCCTGGGTGACTCTAAGGACCTAACTGTGTAAGCTCTGGGAGACAAGCCTGTTACCGGACACCATCGTCACCCCCCACTTTATAGGTGCAGAGCCTGGCATGTGAGAGGTTAGGCAGCTTGCACGATGGTGCTGCTGGAATACGAAGCAGGAACAGGGGCTGTGTGGTAACCACTAGACTGTGCTGCTCCTCCAGGAAGAAAGCTAAACTCCAGGCCTGGCATTCAAGGTCCCAGGCCACCCTGCCTGCCTGTCTGCCTGCTGGGCCCTGGGCAGAACACACTCACTCCTGCTCCAGGCTTCGAAGTTTCCTCTCTGCCCTAACTACCATGTCCGGGTTCCTCCTCATTCAGTTCTGTGTCCACTTCCCCCAGGAAGTCCTCCCTGCACTCCCGGGGCAGGACCTGCCTGAGAGCTCCCTCAGCTCTCAGAACATCCCCACACTCATCTGTCACTGTGAAGGCTGTCACCCTGTCAGACTGTGAGCACCTCCGTCACCTGCCTGTCACACAGAAGCAACGCAGCCCTGGGCAAGGGCTCAGAGCTGGGGTCGGGGGGCTCTGTCTCTGCATAAGTAGATGGCACCCTCTGCAGGGAGCAGGGCCATACCCAGGCTTGGATGGCCAGCCTAGGGTCCCTGGGACAGGAGGCTCCCACCAGGACCGGTCTCTGCCCTCTCCAGTGTGGGCGGACTAAAGGTGCTGAGAGTGGGGCCAGGAGACAAAGAGAGGCCCCCAGGTAAAGTGCAGTCCCCACGGTGGTCCCATCCGTACCCTGACCCTCAGCCTCCTCGAAGGTGCCGCTCACAGTGTGGCAGGTGGAGCCATTGCCTCGGCACACTCCGCAGCGGTCCTCCACGGCATCCGAGTCAATCTCGAAGTCACAGCCCACACTCTGCAACAGTGGGTGGGAGCCAAGGCCTTGGAGCTAAGTGCTGATCCTCCTTCGGGGCCTTGCCCACCTACTGTGCCAACTGACCCCAGAGGAACCCTTCTTCCTCTGAGCTTGTTTTCCCAGAGGTGAGACAGGGGTCTGCCCCTGCCTTAGGGGCACATGGTGAGCCTTAGGTGGTGGAGATAGGTGCAGAGCAGGCACGTGCTCCTGAGAAGCCACACAGGGGTTTCTACGACTCACTGTCAAGAGCACTGGCCCAGCACCAGCAGCCAGCCTCCTCTCAACCCAGGCCGCCACACCAGTGGCAGAGTGCAAGCAGCAGGGGCAAGAGGTGGCTGGGAATGAGAATGAGACTAGGAGTCATTACCCAGCACTGGGTACCTCCTCGGCCTGTTCAGAGCCCCGCACCACCTGGACCACCTTCGAACCCTCCCCAGAGGCCCAGGCTCCTCCAGCCAGCAAGAGGGGGAATGCTGCCTGGGCTCTGCTTCCTGGCTGGAGCTGTGCTGGGCCAGCTGCTGCAGAAGGGCAGGCAGCTGCGAGCCCAGGGGAGAGGCTGGGGCTGGGGGGTGACTTGGGGGTTCTGCAGTCCTGGGGTAGTGGGCAGCTTTGCTATTGAGGTCATGAGGGCAGAGGCCCAAGAGTGCAGCCTGGGGTGAGCTGGTGCCCTCCAAGGGACGGGAGGCAGTGGCACTGGGCACTGCTGTTGATGTCCAGGCGCACCTTGCAGATCCCGTTGATGCAGAGGTCACGGATGGTCTGGTCCTGGTAGCAGGGAGTGCCATCGATCACGGCATCGCGCAGCTTCTCGGAAAAGTGCTCGGTGGAGGGCCGGCAGTTCAGCTCGCAGGGGTTCCCTGGGGAAGGGGAAGACTCATCAGGACAGGCTCACAAGCCTGCCAGGAAGACCCCTCCTCAACGCGCAGCCATGGCAGGCTGGGGGCTCTGGGTGGCCACATGTGGTGCCAGGAGGGGAGCTGGGGGTGAGGCCCTGGGGACAGAAAGGGTGATGACTAGGCTTCCTGGCTGCATCAGTGAGGAACTGGGACCCACATGTCCCCCGCCCTAGGGCCTCAGTCCCCAGGGTGAAAGACTCACCATAGTCGAACACGGGTACCCATGTGTGCAGTTGGCCCTTGTAGGGCTTGGAGTCGAAGTGGCTGCACTGGACATGGCGGAAAGAAGGCTGGCCAGGCGGGCAGGCCTGCAGGTTGCAGAGGCGCGTGCGCCTGCGCTCGCCCAAGCAGAACCTGCCCTTGTACTTGGGCCTGTGGGGAGCAGGTGGGCCATGCTTAGGGTCCTGCAGTGCTCAACCCCACCTCCCGGGCCAGGCAGCCCCCAGCTCCACCTTTTGGTGAGGACCCAAGGGATGAAGGTGGCAGGATGCCTGGGCTCTGGGTCTTGGGTTCCTCTCAATAAATGGGGCAGGGGCCGAGGGTTGGGGCATAGCAGATGTGGCTGGCACTGGTGTCCAAGACTTGGCACTCTAGCCGGCCTGAGTCTGCAGCCAGGGCTGCTGGCAATGCCCACCCTACCCCTCTAGGCCAGGGTCCAGTCCACTCCACCAGGCATGGGGGCACGGCAGGGTGTTGCTGCAAGAGGGGGTTCTGAATCCTGCTGGCCCAGCTGCCATGTTGCTGGGCCTGTGCCACACTGGCTTCTCACTGCCCTCTTTGGAGGGGAAACACCAGGGAGGGGCCCACCTCAGACCCATGTGGCACTGCTGGTGCATTGAGGGTGCCTGCTGAATGCTCATCACACACTGGCTGCACCCATGTGGCCTATGACATTCACTCCAAGAGCCACTTTATACCAGGTGGGCACAACCAGGGAAACTGAGGCCTAGAGAAGTTGTGAGGTGGAGTGGACTGGAGCCCTGGTCTCTCCGAGGCCTGGTGGCCAAGCTCTGACCACTGCCTTCTCCGGCCGCCCTCCAGCCAGGTGCTCCTTGGCCTCTGATGCATCTCCCCACTTTCTCAGCAATGGGGTCACCACCAGATCCCTGTCAGCCTCCAGAGTCTGCCCAGTCCTTCACCCCAGGTACCTGTGCCCCCACTTACTCAGGCTGTGTGCACCATCGCTCGGTACTCTGCACACCCGTGCCACAGCTCCGTGAGCAGACGGACCAGGCGCTCCAGTCGGACCAGCCGCCATCCACTGGCTCGGGCCGGAAACCCATAGGGACGCAGTCCCCATTGAAACACCACTGCCAAGACAGATGGGGGCAAAGCAACCCCCTGAATCTATCAGTCATCCTTACCCTAGTGAGAATAAAGTAGGTGGACAGTGGGGAGAGACAGAAGGAGTAAAAGAGGCCCCCACAGTCGTGCATGTTCCAGGACCCAGACTCAGGCTGGGAGAAGGATGAGACAGGGCCCAGTTGTGACTCTTGAGTGAAGATGCCTTAGAGGATCATGGCATCAGGCCCTGTCTCCAAGGTCTCTGTCTTGCAGACTTGGGCCAGAGAGGGCTAGGGGTCTGCTGGACCATGAGGCAGAGGTGACCCCAGAGCAGGGGCCAGAGAATCAGCCCTCCCCCGACAGCTGGGGTGGGAGCCTCCCCTACCTTGCCTGGCCCACACTTGGTGCCGTCCACAGCGGGGTCCAACTTGGAGTGACAGGTCATCCCCACAGAGCACCAGAGCGTGTGGCAGACGTTCTGTAGGGAGGAGGCATGGCCATACCCTCACTCCTGCCCCAGGGCCACCACGCACCCACCTCCCTTGCTGTCCTTGGGCCCCTTGGACACTGTTCCACAGGCTGGCATACCATGGTGGTCTGCAGGTGTGAGGACCCCAGAGGAGCCCTGTCTTCCCTGCCTCCCCCACATCTAGACCACACCTCAGCCCTGCCTGTCCTCTGGGAGGAACCCCAGGGAGCCAGGGTTCTGTCACAAGCTGTGGCTGAGACATCATGCATTCTGCCCCAGGACCTCATTGGCAGGAGGCTGAGGGAGGCCCCGGGGGGCCCACAGCATGGAGATGGTCAGCCCAGCCTCCACGCCACGGCCCTCCCACGGGCCACTGACTGGGGTGCTCCAAGGTTGGGGGAAGCAGGGCTTCTCCTAGGCTGGCGTCCCTGAGTGCTGAGGATCAACTCTGCATCCTCTTGTCCCCTGCCACACTTACATCCACGCCCTCACAGAAGATGGAGTTGGCCCCGTACTGGAGGTGGCACTGGTGGTCCACGTCGTACAGGACCCCGGGCGGCACAGAGGGGAAGTCGATGACATCGGTGGTTGGAGAGTCATCCAGGCACATGCCCCACCCACGGCTGGAGGGTGGTCAGGAGGAAGGGTGAGGGGTTACTGTCCCAAGAAAGGGGGACAGCACATGGGGCTGGTAGAAAGCTGCAGGGGGCTGGGAGGACAGAGGTGAGAAGGGCATAAAGCCCTGAGGCTGCAGGGCCCTGCTAGTCTCCCCGTGGCCAGGCTGGTCCCCCGCCCCCGCCTGGCTCTGCGGACCTCTCTCACCTCTGGCACCACCTAGCTTAACAGTGCCAGCTGTGGCACGAGCTGTTGCCCAATGCACTTGTTCTCGTGGGTGAAGACTCTCCTTGGGGTGCAGCCCAGCACCCTTGGGTGGGCCAGTTCTGAGCTCACTTACTTTGCCCATGGAGCTGGGGGCTGAGGGTCTGGAGCATCACAGCAGGGCTGGCAAACAGGGCTTGAGCTCATCTGGGGCAGGCCGGGTCCCCCAGGCAGCCCTGTGCTGCCAGGTGGGCCACCTGCCCACTTCCACACCATGGGTAGCTCTCCTGCTCCTGTCCCCTCCAGCCAGCTTCCCTGGTAGCAGCCTATGCCCATCACAAACCCCCACTGCGGCAGAGTCGGAGGAGGAACACTGCCCAGAGCCACTGCAGGCAGGGAGCTCGAGGGATGGCAGAGGCCAAGGCCTCCCAGGCAGCATTGGTGGGAGCGGGGAGCCATACAGACATTCAGTGGCAGAGCCAACAAGGCAGCAAAGGTGTGGGGCCCCTGGCTCGGCAGGGCCAAGAGGCAGAAGCCCTCTAATTGTCTAGTCCAGGAAGCTCATGTGCCAGGCCAGGGAGTGGGGTGAGTGTGGGTGCTGGCCAGGACAAGTGGGGTGGGGTCACAGAGAGGGGAGGGCAGGGGCAGTGCATCTTGGGGCCTGGCCTGAGAAAGGTGGAGGAGACCCCAGAGGATGTAATGAGGCTGTGGGAGATGCTAGGGTCAAGACACAAAAGTTAAGCTGGCTGTGGGGGTGCATGCCTGCCATTCTAGTCCACTTGGGAGGCTGAGGCAGGAGGTTCACAAGTTTGAGATCAGCCTGGGCAACTTAGTGAGACCCTGTCTCAAAATAAAATTAGAAAGAGCCGGGGCTCTAATGCAGTGGTGAGCGCTTGCCTAACATGCATGATGTCCCAAAGCAAAGCAAGCAAACAGGAAAGAACGAAAGAACGAAAGAATGAAAGAATGAAAGAAAGGAAGGAAGGAAGGAAGGAAGGAAGGAAGGAAGGAAGGAAGGAAGGAAGGAAGAAAGAAAGAGAGAGAGAGAGAAAGAGGAGAGAGAAAGAGAAGAGAAAGAAATGGAGAGAGGAAGAAAGGGAGGGAAGGAAGGAGAGAGGAAAGAAGGAAAGAAGGTCAGTGTCCTCCGGCAGGGCTGGTGGACTCAAACCCAGGGATCCTTGAGCTGAGAGGGGGCAGCTATGGGCCTGGGGGATGGGTGGTGGGTGGGCCTCAGCCCCGGGCTGGTGATAGGCCCCAGGCTGCACCAAGCCCAGTGAACAAATCCCTGGAGACTACATTGCTGCCAGGGACCCGAGGGTCCCTCTGTATCACCTATGGGGCCCAACACTTCCCTTTAAATGGGCATGGGCCAGCCAGTGGTGGGACGTGCCTGTGCCCTGGGTGAGCATGCCAGGCTCAGTCCTTTTCACATGCCATCAGGGCACCTCACAACGGGGCAGACTATGCCAGGAACATCTCTTGACGCCACAGGGCTCAGAGCTGTCTATCGCCTGCCTGGCTTCCGGGCCCATGCTGTTCCCTGCCTGGGCTGTTGGCCTTCAAATACTTCACTCCAAACACCAGATAACAACCACCACAGGAGGCCTGGCGAGGACAAGGATGTGTCCCCAAGAACTTGTTGAGCCTGGGGCCTCCCTGGCAGCACACTGGGGCACAGAGTCCACTAAAAGTGGTGGAGCAGCATGGTCTGGGTGCCCTCTTTCCCTCCACACACTGGTATTGTGGGTGTGGATGGGGGCACCCTTGCCCTGGGATGGACACCTGCCAGCGGCCTGTCCAGCTCCAGTCCCATTTCCTGGCTGGGACCTGGTGCTGAGTGGATGAAGGTGCCACTCCAGTGCACAATGATTTGGGGACCTGTCCTGTGTGAGAGAGAAGTTGGGGGATGTGGGTACCCCTACAGGTTCCAATTCCATGCAGGATCAAAGGCAGTCTGGGGAGTCAGGCATTCTCTCTGCCTGGCTGTGGATGCTGTGGCCTGGGGCCACCCCATGTCCTCAATGATTGGGGGCCTGTCCTAAGCCCTTGAGTATAAATAGCAGTGTCTACTTGGGAAGTCACACGATGGCCAGCGGCCGGCCCTTCCTTCCTCTGGCTGGCTCCCTGCCAGGTTCTGCACTGTGACACACACCCAGGTCCCCATGACTGTCAGCCTGTCCTCAGCTCCTTGTTCTGATGACAGCAGGGCTGTGTTAGTGTAGACACTGGGGGACATTCTGGATGGTACAGAGTTGCCCATCCCCTGTGGATGGACCTGCATGCCCCACTCTCTTGCCCTTGGGCTGGTCCTGGGCCCAGAGGTTCAGGCACAAGACCGCTTTGAGGGCAGGCTCCCCTCCTGTCCAAGCAGAGGCTCTTGACCAATGTGACCTCTCTCCAGGGGCCCTAAAGCATTTCCCAGCCTGAAGAGGCTCCTGGGTTTTTTAGGCTGGGAGACTTGGATGGTTTGGGGAATCCTCCTCAGCCCTGCGCCACCAGCAAAGATCTTCACCTTCCCAGATCTCTCACTGGCCTTTGGGTGGGCCTTGAGCCCCTCCAAGAGTGTCCTGCTCCCTAACTGGCCACCAGAAGGCAACTCTGAGCCTCCCAATCCCAGAGGCTAGTGTCCCTCTCTGTCTTCCTAGATACCCACAAGGACTGTCTGCCACTGCACTGGTCATCCAGATTGTCATCTGTCTGCCTCCCTGTCATGTCTGCATCCTTTACCACTGTCCACTGTCCTATGACATGGCCTAGTGACCTTTAGGGCCACGGTGACTGAGACAGGGCAGGGTTAGAGTGTGGATTCATCATGTCTGGTGGATTCATTATGTCTGGGTCCACGCAGCCAGTAAGCAGCCATGTATCTGCAGGGAGCTTGGAGTGTGGGGTCCCTCAGGATGGTGGGTGGGCTGCATGCCCCAGACCCTCAGGCCCTGGAAAGGCTCCCTGACTCACTCATTAAACTCCCCACCCTTTTTGGGGGGGCCTGGTTCGTGTCCCAGGCCCAGGAAGGAGACTGAAGTTTCTGCTCTTCCCTGATGCCACTGTGACTGTCCGAATGCCCACTCTCCCTTCCCCTTGCTGCCTGATCCCTGGGATCCCTGGGATGGCGTGGGCGGGTGAAGGTGTGACAGACCTGGGGAGACAGCACCTCTCTCCCGAGCACCCTGTGACCCGTAGAGTGAGCATCTCCATCTTTCTGCCTCTCTCTGGCTCTTCCCGGTGCTGGGCTTATGGCTGGCTCAGGCGCTCAGCTTCTGCTCCCACCCTTGCCCAGGCCCCAGGCCAAGTCTCTTGTGCATTCCAGCAGCGACCACAGACAGAGACTCCCCTGTCTGTCTGTCTGTCCCAGAGCCAAGGTGCTGGGTGGCACCCTGGGAGGGGAAGCTGGGAACAAGCCCTAGGGGTGTTTGGGAGGTGCCTACTATTCTGATGTTCCAACAATTCTCTCATTCTCTGCCTGCTCTGGGGGAGGAGACACACCCTCATCCCCATCCCAGGCCACAGATCAATCACTTGGAAATAGTGGAAAAATAACAGCAGTAACTGCAACCCCACATATGGAAGGTTTACCACGTGTCAGGCATTGCACTAAACACTCTGCTAGTTTCCTCATTCAACGCTCAAGAAAACGTACAAGGCAGTCCCATCATTATCCCATTTTTTGAGGCTTAAAGAATAATGTAACGTGTCTGCCAACACGGGTAGGAGTCTGGGCCAAGGTCCAGAGTTTTAACCGCCAAATTAAACTCTGTTTCCGTTCTGAGCCTGTGACTTAGCAATCCCGCTTCTCTGGAGGCCAGCGTCCTTATTCCTGCCTCCCTCGTGGGCCAGGCAGCTGCCTGCCGGAACCACAGTGGGCAGACGCGAGAGAACCATGGCACACTGAGCAGATGATGCTCTCTGCTCCCTTCTGAAGCCCCACTGTGTGGCACCTGAGGAACAAACAAGGGATAAAGGACAAGAGAGGTGGCAATGGCAACAAGACTCTGGTGGGTGGGAAGCATAGTCAACTTGGGAGTGGGGACAGCAGACAGTCATGTGCCGTCAGGGACAAACCACAGAGAAGTGAGGCTGTGGAAGGCTCAGCACCTGGCCTGAGAGGGGGTCCCTGGGACCAGTAGGGTTGAGCGTAGAAACTCAATGGGGAGTCTTTAGGAACCCGTCAGACACCTCCCCAAGCCTATGTGGCCAGATGACTGCCGCCATCCCACCCAGAGGGAACAAAGTCACTCTCAGGACAAGATGAACTAGGATGCTCCAGTAATGACACACAGATGGAGGCAGTGGGGCCTACAGAGAAGGGGGAGAGTGACACTCCACAGTGAAGGGTGGGACACCACCAGAACCTTCCCTCTTTGGATGCTGAAAGGCTGCACCTGACTTGATGCTTTTCAGGGAAAGACAGGATTGCTCTCCTGGGACACTGGATCGCTCCAAACAATGACTGCGGACATTGACAATGGAGGAGAGCGCCCAGAAAGAGCCCACCGTCACTCGTCATGGGGAGAGTCCTGCCCACAACCTTTCCTCCCAATGGCTTCTCTGCATCTCCTCCATGCATGACATACAACCAACATGTCTGAAGGAAACCTTTAACATGAAATGAAGATTTTTAAAAAAATCTACCCAAAGAAAAGAAAAAGGTTTCAGAAAGCATAAGAAAAAAAACATTCATACAAACGATAACCTCAGAAAGGTAAGAGAAGATATTTTACTCATAAACTAAAGTAGGATAAAAGAATAGAATAAGTCCGAGGGATGAAATGAAACTACAATACAGTGAAAACTGTAATAGAAA